TCGATAAACAGGCTGAATTTATAAAGAACTTTTATGCACTAGGTGAAAACCGGAAGTGAATACGCTGTTTCTCCGCAATTACCATAATGCTGAGAATACTGGCAAACTCTTTAAAAAGGAGGCTGTGAAACAACTTGAAGAAGAGGGTGCGCCAGAAGAGTCCAGGTGGCGGGTGTCAGAAACTCTTTGTGGATTCCTCATCCAAAAATCTTCAATGCGCACCATATTCTGTGTGCACATTTCGGTTTCGTTTTCCGCAGAAGCCACACCATACAGCTCTAATAAAAGCTGGAAATAGAAACTAAACTGTTGCACTCGATCTTGGACAAGTCAAGGTAAGTTTGCCTAAATAGTCTAACTGCCACAGCTAGAGTAAATATCACTATTATGACTGTATATTAATAATGCCTTACTCTGCTGTGTGTCTTTGTTAGATGGGTTCAATATTCCACCTACTCGAGCAGCACAGACTGCAGTCTCACTACAGGAAATTTTGTGATGTTGGAGTGAAAGATGAAAGAGATTTCCTTGATGTCACAGATGAAGACTTGAACTCCATCGGTAAGTTACTGATTGTAAATAAGTGTAAAGTTGCGTTCTCTGTTTTTGATGTCACTATACATGAAAACATGTCAAATATAATCAGTGTGTGTTATTGCTACTTATACGGAAGATGTTTCCATGTTTCCTATTCACATTAAAAGGCAACCAGCAAATATTTACATGACATGAGTCATGTAAATATTAACTTTGTTAACTTTGGTCTAGAAGCCTAAATAACACAAAGCCATGTAGGAAGAAAGAAAGAACTGGCAGGTAGTAAATGAAAAAAAAAGTCTGAGCATAAGGAAAACAGGTTGTTATTCAGGGAAATTTAATGAGTCATAACCCAGTGTAGCACACTTAATGAGGATTGTCTCATGTGTCTTGGTTTTATTTTCCAAACAACTATTGGAGCTTTGCAGTATCTCCACTAGAGCTGCACAATTAATTGAAATATTATCAAAATATATATGGCCAAGTGCAATATCCAAATAACAGCAGCTGTAAAATGTGTGACAAACAGCATTATACTGTAGTGAGGGATTCCCTGTTGTATGTACAAATCATGTTTTCCAGATATAAGATATATGTTTGTTACAGACCCCAATAAATGTCATATGATCATGATTTTAACAGTTTCTTTCAGTGAAAATTCAATTTGTAATGCAAGAATTATCATTCCAACTCTAATCATGTGTCATAATGCAATCATAATATCTTTAAAACTAATTACAATATGGTTAATCTACCATATTGTGCAGCCCTACTCTGCACAGACTGTGCAAAAACATACATAGAGAGAAGTAGTGAGGTGAGATATAGGTCAAAAATAGATGGATTGACAAATAATACAGTAATATGTTAGTGAATTATTTCTTTAATGGTCCTCCAAAGCTATAAAATGACTCTGAAAGCCACTGTTCCTACAATTTTTGCAGTAACTATTAATTTTAGAATTGTTTGTTCAACAATATATATTAAGTCAAGTAGGATAATGGTCCAAATGGAAACAAGAAGAGTTAAATTTCCACATATAGACATGAGGAATTAAGGTTGTTAGAAGAGCAGATATGCATATTAAATTGTTGATCATATTTTCAAACAGGATTAAGCCAGGTGGAAAAGAATCGTTTTTCTACCATGAGAAACTCCATTCGCAGACTCAGAGCTCCTGCAAACCCAGCTGCAATGTCTGTGAAAAAGTCAATGGAGTCATACTGTCTGCAGTACATGTACCCCAAATGTCCTGAGCCAAAATACATCAAAGGTAAGAAATTTGCGTAATGTATTGAATTTATTTGAACCCTCTTTTCAACAGAACTCATACAGTAGGTTACAGTTGAAGAAAGACACACTATCGTTCTGTGTACAGAGAAAATACAAAGACAATAACAACTAATTAGAAGCTGGGAATTGCAGGAACACGTGCATTTAGGATGATTACATTACTTCTGATCAGTGCTGGAAATGGGCTGGTACTCACCGGTTTTGATTACTGGCACTTAAGAGTTTTGTCCACGAGTAGCCCTACTTCTTATCTTACTGAGTAGTACCACCTCTGGTGAGCCCCCACCACTGAGATCTCAGACATCTAGACCTTTGCTGAGGGCTATACAATATAAATCGTGAAATGATTACTTAAGTAACTACTTTGGTGCACCAAAATCCCCTTTGCAAGTTCAGTTTTTGGACCTCGGTATTTTTAAAAAGCCTTGTTCAGCAATACTTTTGAGGTACTCCTACACACCTGTAACTGCTTCTCTGTATAAACACATCGCTAGCTCAGACACAGCACTGACAATGGCCTTGTTAAAATGGATAAAAAAAGCATAGACAATTAGGGTTATGTTTTATTTAGGGTTAGGGTTGTGCTGAATCAGAGACTTCTTCTGATCAAGGGGCAGCTGTTGCTCAGAAGGTTGCTGGTTTGATCCCTGGATCCTTGCCAAAGTGTCCTTGAGAGAGATACTGAACCCCAAATTGCTCCTGATGCTGCATGTGACTAGAAAGGTATATAAGTTAAGTCCATTTACAGTAAAACCTAGTGTCAACAACTTTTCCAACACAGCAAAACATCAAGCAAGTGCAACAACACAAGACCTAGTAAGCAGTTAATTTTATTTACTAGTCCAACAGCAAGAAGGCCAGCTTCCTCCATCAGCGTCCTCTTGATACTCTGTCATAGAGAGTTGAGGCGGAGCAGCTGGAGGTAGTTAGATATTCCTACCAAATGTTTAAATATCTTTGTTTGAGTCACAGGGTTGTGTTTGTTAATAGGCTATTGTACAAGTCAAGTCTTTCACCATAAATCTAAGCACATATTATGCTACTTACAGCAGGGACTCCAACTAGCTGTCAGCCTTAAAGACTTAAATTCCAATGCCCAGTAAAATCATTGTCATCTAAATCTGTAGAGCAAAACTAGAAGCACATATTTGCATACAAAGATTGCCACTGTTAAACTCAATTAATTATTGCACCCTAGATAAATGTTCATCAGTTTTATACAGCTAGCTAGTTTGGTCCAGACAGAGATATTTCAAGAACCATTGAGTGGATAGTCATGAAATGTTGTACAGATGTTCATGGGACCTGAAGATAAATCCTACTGACTTTGGTGATCCTCTGACTTTTCCTCTTGCTCCACCATGAGGGTGACATTGGTTTACCGTGAAATGTCTCAGTAACTACAGTATCAGATGGATTGACATAAAAGTTGGTGCACACACCATGTTTATACCCCAGGATGACTTGTGATCATTTTGGTGGTCCCTTAACTTATCGCCATTGTCATCAAAAATCTAATTAGTATAACACTGGTTATGACCTGCAAAACTAATGACATTCCCATCAACCTCAGCTGTACTTTGTGTTTATGTTGATGCCTGAATACAGCCTCACAGAGCCGCTATCATGACTATACATCTTGTTACCCAATGTTTTCCCTGTAATCCAGAGTTAAGGGCTGTCCTCTGTCAAGTGTGTATCACATATTACATCATACATCATTCTTTGTATGACACCCATATACTATTTTATATTTTTACCAAGATCATTTTGAATTTGCAGATATGGATCCTGCACAAAATACAGTTGAAGATCTGATGTTGAGGATCTGTCACTGTGAAAGTGTTGATACATCCAAAGGTGTCTGTCTCTACACGGTGGATGGAATGCCTTTGACTGATGATCCATTCTTCAACACATGTAAGTTAATTCAGTGCAAGAGGTCATTATTCAGTGTGATTATGCACCACGGTATAGGATTTCTGAGGTTATTAGGCCTTCACACAAATGTTTTTAGTGTTTTGTTTTGGTACCTTTTCCACATAAAACTGTGCCAAGCTACATATCAGTGAAGAGAAGAATTTATAAAAATACAATATTGAAATATGTCTTTTTAAAATTGTTAAGCCAGTATGTGGCCCATCTAACCTCACAGATCTGTCTCTGATACATTGAGATGGTTTGGTTGAAACATGCCAAAATTTCCATCAGGATTGTGTCATTTTTCTAAAAACAAAAACCGATGCCATCAGAATAATTAGGATGAGTGGCTTGAAATCAGGTGGCTCAAATCCACTCTGTGAGCTCTATAGGTGGTCAACCAACTTGAGTGCAACATCGTATGTAAAGTGGTTATTTTGTTTTTGTTCACCTACAGGGTCTTTAAAAGACAGACATATTGCAAATGGAGATGTAATCTATGCAATATTTACACCAAAGGAGAACCTGAAAACAGCTCGTCAAATGTTGACGCAAGAGGTTACTGAAAACTATGGAACTGATACAGTTCGATGCCACATCATGCTCAAGGTGAGTTTTAGTACCGTACAGTGCTGTAGGACATTTCTCTCCGCAACTTAGCAACATAATATATAGATTAATAGGTTGATATGAATAATATATAGGTTTGGGCTCAAATTTAAGTTGCATATCATGTAGTTGAAACAAAAGTCCAAACCTGGGCCAGAAAGAGGTCTAAAACCTCTCACGGACAATTCACTAAAATCACTTTTAAGATAACTAATTGGAGCCTCAAAAATGCTAAGAAAAATGCTCCAGAGTATGACGTGAAAGAGTTTATTGGGTCAATAAAGTCAACACAGCAATAAACACAAGAAAGGTTCTGGACCTGACTGACTTTCTGCTCACAAACTTTCTGAACTGGAGCTCCTCCTGTGCTGTGTCTTGACCTTTTTTTTCTATCTTTGGGCTACTGCTGACATGACTCTGTTCTACAAATCTTCTTGTCAAAATTGAAGATAACATAGTTCACATATATATGATTTTAGTTGTTTTTTCAGTGAAGAATTTCCACTGTCAATGTAATCACGTTTTTACCATATCTTGTAGCCCAATAATATTTATTTATTTATTTGTCATTTCAGCTTCACAATTTTACCACAATAATCTCCTCTTCCTGTCCTGTCCCTATCTTTACTCTCACTAATTAGAATAAAGAAAAATGCAAAAAAAACCCTTTATTTTCTAAAATTTTTAAAAACAAACATTTGCCACAGGGAAACTTCGAGGTGAAAGTGGATTTGACCAAGGACACAATAACTAATCTGAAGAACAAGCTTGCAAGTGAAAGTGGAATCCCAGGACATGTCCTTCATTACAAGTAATTCTGAATTATAGCAAGGCATACATAGTATGGCTTTTGACCCTAATTACTGATAATGATTCTGGTATGTTTATTAAATCACAATTTCAGAGGTGAACATGGCAGTGGAAACACACTGGAAAGTTGTGGAATCTCAGATGAGTCCACGGTGTTCTTCTCACTGTCTACGTTTACTGAGGAGGTTCCAGACCAAAGAGAATTCTTCACTAATGATGTCGAGCCCTCAGTGCAACAAACCTCCAAAGGAATCAGTGCCTTCTTGTCTTCATTTCATATCATTGTAAGCAGTGTTTCATGCTATATAGTTAAAAATATTAATACATTTTTGTGGAATAATTTGCATATATATTGAACTGCTCACATGTTTATTTTGCTTTGTGCAATCATTTCCAACCACTCAGTCCTCTTTTGTCTCAATTGTTCTAGATTACCATTTTATTTTAAGTTGTCTTTGCCCTGAAGTAATATTACTATGTATGTGTGTGTGTGTGTGTGTGTGTGTGTGTGTGTGTGGGGGGGGGGCATCATAATCCAGTTCCAAGAAAGGAACTACAAACTGTCTTTATTAACAATTTTTGGAGCCCATTCCTAACAATGTGCACAATATAGTTTGTAATTATTTTATATTTGTATATTTATATTTCCCACTCTAGAAAAACACGAATACTGGAGTTTCATACAAGAATTTGATTGGCTACATACGAAAACTGACTGGATGTAACCCTCTGGCCCAAAGTTTGTACCAGTTACTCTGGAAGAATGAGACTATATCCAGAAACCAGAAGGTAAACTATACAAGATGGTGTAAGATTACTTTTATTTCCTTTTGCACTGACGTTTTTGAAAAGTGTTCATTCAGCATTATTTATTTTGTTTCAGCATATGCCTTGAGAAAATGTTATTTTCCTCTTTCAGTAACAATAGGTCTTTTCTTTTCCTGTAGATCGCAGTGGTTGAAGGCTTGTACATGCTCTTTAGAGAGCTTTTGCCACAGCTTGGAACAAAACGAGGAGAAAAGATCATCGAGGACATTGATGTCTTTGAGTATTCAACATACTGCTGGGCATATATCCTGTCAGAAGCAAAGGTATTCCCACATTAACAAGGCAATGTTAGCAACAAAAATTTGTACAGACCCCACCACATCACTAGATCTGGACCTGTCTTAAAAAGGTTTCTCATTGCTTTGGGAAATGCATATAAAAACTTTTGCATACAAAAACGTTACAGAGGAGTGATAAACTTCCAGTTCAATGTTTCTACCTAATTCCCTTTTCATTATGCCTTGTAATATTTTGACAGAAAGAGACATCAGAACATGAGAACTATGCACCATTTTCTCTGATGTCTGAAGAAGGCAGGCGTTACTCTGATCCAGTCACTGTACCTGGAGTACCAGGTGTCCTCGAAAGAGCAGTTGTACTTCAGAAAATCAAAGGTAAAGTAAAGTGCAATTCTGGTTCAGAATTGTGTGAGCAGACCTAACAACTACACATTTTGCAAACCATTTATGTATTTTGGTTTGTATTCAAGTTTGAGTCCTTATTTTTGTAGTTTGGTAACCCAGCACCACAGACTAATTTGCATTTATGAAAATGCCTGAATGGCCAATAACAAACTAATATTGACCTCTAACCGCTAACAATGAAACATCACATTTTCAATATGATGGAGCATATGTTTCTCCTCAGATTTCTAAGTGTTGAATATATTATTTAAATCAATAGTTTGAATCTACTTTTAGTCAGTGGTACTCAATACACAAGTCCAGGATATGAGACTGCTGTACCAAAATACAGGTTTTATTTACAATGACTGACCAGTGAGTCTATCCCAAACAAGAGGAGATAAAATCTCCATAGCATTGACTGGGTCTAAAAACCCAACAGAAGGTGCCCAAGAAGCATCCTGACCAGCTCAACACAAAAGAGCAGCAGCTTATGCTGTATCCACAATCTCATTTTTTGGTCACTAACCAAAGCTCATGACCATTGGTTGGAAAATAGATCAACTGATAAATTGATAGTGGTGGTTCTTCAATGGCATTGGAAATAATGCAGTGGGTAGAGCTGGAGGTCAACATCTTCTACCAAAATAAATATTCTTTATTAGGGATTAATTAATTAATTAGTCATTGTATGACTGTATGAAAATGTCTTTGCTCTTTTGATGGGGTCATTGATGTCACGTCTCACTCCAATTAAAAACATATTTTTTTCTCACTTACTTGTCATGGAGTGATTATATGTAATTATTGACATTCTATTTTGAATTTCTCTTTTCTTCTGTTCAGATGGCGAGAAGATTCCAAACTGCACTGAAGAGTGTTTGCAAGAAATATCACTCAAAAGAGCCACTGACACTGAGAAAATTCTGCTCAGCGTTCACCCGTCAATTAAAACATATCATCTTTGGATTTCTCATGACAGTGTGACTGGGCAGAAGTATGTATCAAATTTCATGTTCATGACAGCTCATATAATTAGCAATAATAAGATAGTTGTCATACAGATTCACACATAAAATGCACAGATTGTCACTCAGCTATCCAGACTGATCAATCATTAATTTGTGTAATTGATGCAGTGTAGTAGTAGCCTTTACAAATTCCAAGAGTATATATAGATTAGAACCACTACTTTACAGACTAAGTGAAATCGGGGGGGGTCATCTCATTTGTGTGTGTGATAAGTTGATGAGGTTCTCACAGTATTTACAGTAACTCAATTAGTAACCCTTATAATTGAATTATAGCTTTCACATAGATACTGGGAAGAGTTTTGGAGACATGGCAGAAGAAATGAAAGCTTTCCCTCAACTCAATGTGACTCCACCACTTCTTTTGAAAGATCTCGGTATTACTGACCAGCGACTTGTTTTCCTGAGTGAAGGTACGCAGAAATCGGATTCTGAATGCCTAATTTCATAAAGCTAATGATTTTACAAACGCAAAGAAAACAGTCTATATGTAAATCTGTAGTGTTCAAGGACATTCAATACATTATAGGCTGATTCAAAAAATGATGGCATATGACATACGATAATAAGATTAGACATTATCCACAGTGATAGTACAGGAGCAGGGAATGAAGAAAGTTTCAAAGTTTAGGAGCCACAATTTCAAAGTCACCATCTCCTTTAGTTTTAAAGGACCAGTGTGTAGGATTTAGTTGCATCTAGCTGTGCTGTGAAGTTGCCGATCGCAACCAACTAAACACCTCTGGCATCTGTATTTGACGAACCTGGGAATAAGAACAGGCTGTGAAGAGTGTATGTGCTTGCTCATGGTGGGAACGGTTGGATCTCTGTAAATTATGTTAAAAGGAGTTTGGTCTAGAACTGCTCTATTTGAAAAGTGTCCTGAGATAATTTCTGTTATGATTTGGTGCTATACAAATAAAATTGAATTGAATTGAATTGAATTGAATTGAATTGAATTGAATTTTTGCTTTTGTGCTCCCTGATGTGTAATGTTGGCAATTGGTCTTGCTGTTCTTTAATTACTTTAATTTTTTCACAGACAACCTTGGTGTCTATTTGACTAAAAACAAGGCAATCCCTGCACTGATTGAGGTGTATGATTGTCTGGCTGGCAAAACCAAAAATGTGAATGTGGACGTATTAGCAGCAAAGTGAGTACTTAATTTTTTTGTGTACTAAACTCCATTAAATATAAAACCAAGATAGAAAGTATATTCTGGCATTCATGCAGTTTGTTCAAATCAAAAACTACAATATTGTGTCTCCGAATTTAAATTAATTCAAATTTCCTCTGTCTTGTATCAAAATGGCAACCACGCTATAAAGTAAATATCACAATTGGTCATGAAAGTCAGACGTTTATGTACAAAGGTAAAGATATAGAGATGTAACAACAATGTGCTGTATGAACCATTTAATAATATTAACAGAGGCACTAGAATGCCCCAACTATTGTTATCTGCTTTTACATACAGTAACTATTATCTCAACACTTTAAGTTTAAATTTTTGATAAAATTCTTCACTTTTCATGCAGAACTGGTGACCAGAGGGACGATGATTCATTTGTCACAACCAGGACTCCAAAAGAAGCCATTATGGTAATGTTGATCCTCTACTACTGTGCATCTTTTAATGAGTAACTAGACCCAAAATATCTGGCTCAATGCACCATCCAGTGGGCAGAGTGAAACAAGCAGGCATTGTTTATGAGATGTTTGTGTGCACAAAGACAGCAGCTCTCATTTTTAACTGTCCCACTGAATGGGGTCAGATATTGACCAGGAGATCTGTGAGTTATATCCTGCATACATCATGCATCAACAAATGTAAAAAGTCAGTAGCTCTGAACCTCGGTTGGAGACTTCTATCTGATTTAGCCTGGATTGTAAAGTAGCTGGTAACATTAACAAGGTTTAACAGACTCTGGCAAACACAATGTCCAACATGCATAAGAGATTAATTTCTCATATGACCTTCCAGAGAGAGAGTCAGATATAGAACACACATATTTTATGTCAGATAGACATGTCCTTTCCACAGGGAAAAAAGTGAATGTCCCCCTCATAATTATTCATAAAAAAAATTAAGTTACTTATAGTAGTACATCTTTTACATATTTATTTTATTTCAGTACCCATTCATTCGTGCAGATGGTTAATACTCCACAGATTTCTACAACACATACACAGTGGTCTTAGCATTCACTCTTTCTACATTTATCACAAGAACAAGCAACAGCAAAGAAAACAGTACCCCACTGTGCATACTTTAGTGGTCTATGACATAATAACCATTCAAAATCAACACATTTGTTGCTGCGCTCCTCATTTTATTCTCTCATTTCTTTTTTTAAACAAAGTTGACTGGATCCCTATAAAATGCATGCTTCAAGTTGAGCTTCATTTTTCTCAATCATATCTTGATTTTAATCTCATCAGGTGCTGATAGATACAAGCTCATCCATGGGAGAAAAATGCTATGGAAGTGTGGAAATACAGAAAATTGATGCTGTTAAACAGCTTTTTGACAACTTTGCAACACGCACCATGGCTTATGATTTTCATCATGTCATTGGCCTTGCGAAGTTTGACTCTACAGTGGAAACTCTCCACACATTCACAGAAACACTGGAAAAGTTCAAGGTAAATACAAAACATTACACGTACCAGATCCTTGTTCAGGTCAGTACTGAAGGTTGAGATGTGTTCTGTCTGTATGGTATATAGCTTGGGCTGCTCAGCCATGAAACAATAGCCTACTGAACCGAAGTTGTTGCTTTTCACACTTTCCTAGGAACACGTGCACACCCTTCAGGCAAATGGAAGAACAAAGCTGTATGATGCCCTACAGCATGGAATGCTTGAGTTGGAAAAAGTCAAGAAGTTTCCAGACTGTAAACGTCGCATCCTTTGTCTCACTGATGGATACGATGTTGGGTAAATCTCCTTCTCTAAACTAGCTGTCTTTTTCCTGAGAAAATTGGTAACATAAGGGAGTTATGTGACTGTAGGGTGGGTTGGTGGGGTAGGTGTTGGTTACTCTGAGGAATAAAAATGTAAAACACCTGCAAATTGTATTATGCTTCCTGAGAACATATTCTTTGTGCATAGATCCTCAAACAAGCCAGAGGTTGTTACTGCCAACCTGATCAAATCTAACATCATCGTGGATTCAATTATTCTTGGAACAGAGGCGAACAATCCTCTGCAGAATCTGTGCAGGGCACTTTCGGGCAATATGTCTTGTACTCTGCGCGGAATCAGCAATGCAACAGGTACAGTAAAACCTAATTGAATGCTTTAGAATTAATGTTATGTTTCTTGTGTCTACTGAGTCTTTAATTTGAGCCAGGTTCTATAATCATAACACTACATAGTAATTCGATTTTCCAAGTCAACTAGTAGTCGTTAGTTAAAGCCAATAGTCGTTCCACATTCATGATATTAATTAAATTATTTAAATGCTGACAGAACAAGCAGTAATGCTTCTGAATGTGTCAGAACAAGCAGCAAGGAGACTGAACATTTAGTTAATTTATTTCAACACAGTGTAACATCACACAGTCTCACAAATACTGGTGGACTCATCGATAAAATGGATGATGGATAATGTTAACATTTACTTATAAATTAACTTACTCTGAGTCTGTGAGCCCAGTTCATGCTCGTCTGGTTCTGTTGCTTATTCCGGCCCCCGCTCACTGCATACATTAATGTCACATCCTTTGGATTTTCACAGAAAATTCAACCTGCATCCCTACATAGAAATATATTAAGTACGCAGGTGACAGACAAAGTCGGGTTCAGAATCTTGGAACCTTTAATAATCTGTGTCAAAGACTGATGATTTGCTATATTGATTGCTTTCCAATAATCAAGAAAGCAGTCTTACCTAATATAAGCCTATCAAAGGGCAGATGCCAGAGAAGGCAGAGATAGAAACCAGACTGTCCTCGCCAGAACACTGTGTAGTTTGATTCTGCAAGCAGCTTATTACGAAACATATCAACATTTATTGTTAGCCAGCAACCTTTAGTGACCATAGTAATTATGATTGGAGCAGTACAAAGATTGAGAAAGTCCACATAAGGAGTCATGTAGCAATTGTTTTATTCTACGTTGTACCACAAGGTGGTGCTGTGAGCTGGGGCGAGTATCGTTGTTACAGACTATAGCTACGATGGAGCTGGTTCCTTTCTTCTGTTATTAAAATCAGAAAAAATCAGCATCCACCGTTCCATTATCCAGCTCCATTTTGCACTAAAATACTTTACGTCATGTGACTAATGTCATTTAGTACAAAAACATTTATTTTAATGCAAACGCAATCTTTTCCAAAACAATACCATGAAGGTTTGTGCTTACATAATGTCTTATGGTCCCTGTCACAGGTACTCTACACCAATCATATCTCTCATTTCATCCTATTCTGTTGTTTAGATATAAGGACATGTTAATAGGAACACATGAGAGTAACATGCTGCTGTAGCAAGCATCCTTTGATGGACAATGAATTATAACCTTCATTTATGAAGTAATTGGTTTTAGAAACTGTCTGCCAAGCTGGGAAAAATAAATTGTTATTGGAAGCTGAACAATTACTTGTTTAATTTATAATTTTGTAAATTAATGTCAAAGGGTGATTCAACAGTTGCCTTTGACTAGTCATTACTAGGAGGTAATGGTTTGGCAGTGACATGAACAAGTGTCTTAAAGGGGTTTTAATAACACATCAGTGGTAAATTAACTAATTTAAATCTATATTGCATTCAGGTGGTTGCTGTTTCAAGCCAGAGACAAGCAAAGATGGTCTGAAGCTATTTGAGATAGAGACGGTTCTCTCTTTGGAGATGAGGAAACCCAAGAACAAAGCCGACCCATCATGCATCAGTACAGTTAGTACACTTATTTTTGTCTACAGTTCAGTTAAGTGCACTGAAAATTACACCAACACGAGTCGAGTTGCACATTATAAGGATGTGCTTATTAATTTGAGTTTTTCTGTTTTCAGGGTTTCTTAACAGCGATCTCTGCTGCCAATGGGTATGATGACTCTCCAGAGACTGCTTTGCCAAGCCAGATAAACAGTAAAGTGACACTGACAGAGAGGTAACAGTCTCATTCCATGCCTATGTGGAACATGCTGACGATTACTTTGTTGTATGTTTTTGTTTCCATATGTTTTGTCAAGATATAAGAATGAGCTGTCAAAGGGTGAACTCAGAGGTTGGGTTTGATCTAATTATACATTTTCTAGAGATACTTTTTTTTTTAGTAAAGTTAACTGAAAAAGCCTCTGAAAGATTTGGCTGTAATTCAGCAGAAGAATAGGATTAGTTTTTGGTGATGACCAGACGGTTGCAGCATTATACAATTTCTGCTTTATACTATATATATATATATATTATATTTTTAGATAAAAAGTCATTAATTCAGAAAAAACAGAGCAGAATGTCAATGCAACATGTTTCCGTAAAATATATTTACTATGATATTAAAGAGAGAAAAATGGTAAATCGCTTTGGTGTTTCTTCAACTAACAGATAAATCGACATTATAGCACTTATAGCACTAAAGCCTGATGGTTTTCAAAAGTTTCATGAGCCCAGTAATTATAAACTGATTAAATGATAGCTATATTACAATGTTTGTATTAATATTTAGTCACTAATCTTTCAAATTAGTGCTCTGAAAAAGAAGATCCAGGATGCCAAAGTTGGCCAATTGATGGAAAAGGACAAACGTATCCTGGAGGAACTAAGGAGCCTGCATCGTGACCCACATCCCTACTTTAGTATCTTTCCATCAGAGTCTGACTTCAGTAAGTTCCAAACAAGACCAATGCATATCATGCATGACAGATGATGCATCATCATATGATGAAAACAACATAAAATACATAACGATGTAAGAAGATGAAACTGAAGAGAGCGAGACTCGACCCTGTTTGAAGTTTCAGTTAGCTTTGCAGAAACAGCCGATAGAAATGTCCTTCAGAGAAACAAAGAGAGTACTTTTTTATACTTTGTGTAAATTTCAGAGCCTGTAATTTTTACTTTTACTTGAGTAAAGAAGTTGAATCAGTACTGTACTTCTTCTAAAACAATGTGTGTACTTTTGCCATATCTGGCAAATTCAGTCAATTCAGTTAATGCAATATTGGGAAAAGGGCAAAACTAAGTTTGTCAGAGTAAACCTTTCAATCTTGTTTTCTAAACTTTTCAGCATTCTGGAAGATTATCATGGAGGGACCTCCTGACACACCTTATGAGAAAGGAGTCTTTGAGTTGTTCTGCCAGTTTGGTGCTGACTACCCAGTGAAGCCTCCACTTGTTCGCTTTGTCACACGCGTATCCTTCCAAATAAAGAACAGCTTCAACCCAGGAAAACATATTATATGTGCTCATGACTTTATATAGAGTTCTCTTAGTCTTCTTGTTCATCTTTCATGAGCACAATTAAGAAATAAAAAAATGATGAAACATTGGTAAATGAGGCCCATAGATGGATTTGTATCCAGAAGCATTGTTTCAAAGAAAATAGTGTGAGTTTGAATAATTGTAATCAATATGTACTTTCATGGCAGTATAATTTTCTTAACATGAACAAGGTGTACCACTGTAATATTAACAGTGTGGGGCGCATCTGCCACAACATATTTGACCGGAACTACAATGCCCAAATCACTGTGAGAGATATCCTCAATGCTGTGTATGGACTGCTCATCATCCCTGAACCTGAAGATCCATTGGACAGGTTCTATTCCAACACACTCATAATACTGTACACACATACATACACCCATACTGCTGATATAAAAGAGATCTACACCCATCAGCCATTACATTATGAGCACTGACAGTGAATAACTCTTGATTATCTGGTTATGGCTCCTATCAGTGTGTGTGTGTGGGGGGGGGGGGGGGAACATTTTGTCCTCAGAGTTGATGTGTTAGAAGCAGGAAAAATGGGCGACGTGAGTATCTGAGCGACTTTGACAAGGGCCACATTGTGATGGAAGACTAGGTCAGAGCATCTCCAAAACTGCAGGTCTTGTGGGGTGTTCCTGGTCTACACTGGGGAGTACCTATCAAAGGTGCTCCAATTAGGGGAAAAGAACTGGAGACAGGGTCATGGGGGGGCCAAGGCTCATTGATGCACGTGGGGAGTGAAGTCTGGCCCGTGTGGTTCAATCCAACAGACGAGCTACTGTAGCTCAAACTGCTGAAACAGTTAATGCTGGTTCTGATAGAAAGGTGTCAGAACACACAGTGCAGAGCAGTCTGTTGGTATGGGACTGATCGGTGTATATACATAATAAATTGACTCAATGTCATTCACTCATATATGAGAATTTTACTCATTTGATAAATGCTGACATAAAGGAAAAAACTACATATTGAGTTTTGCTTTGGTAAATAAAGCACTTGAATTAAAAGTGTGTCTCTTTCTGTGGAAGCATTCTGGCCGAGGAATTCTTGACCAGCCCTGAGAAGTACAAACAAGAGGCCAGGAAGCACACCGAGGAAACCGCTGCACAATCACTGGATGATATGGAGAAGGTAAATGAACAATATGTTTGTTAGTTCGAGTTCTACAGGGGATAGACAAAAAAGCTGCAATGCTTGATAATAAAATGCAATAACCATTGCAAAATACACTCCATGAACACCTGTTATATTACCCATTACCCACCAAAGGTGCTTTCAAATAAGAGAATCAGTCTGAATATGTGCACATAGCAAATATACTGTAGCCTAAATCAGAGCTCAGTGCTTGCACAGATCAACAGCTCACATATAAGCTAAGGGCTGTTGTAATGTGTTGCATTATGTTGACAAATGTTCCTGATACTCTATCTGCCCTTCTGTTTACAGTATTTATAATAACTGGCATATTATCTTATTTTTTACCTTATATTACCTTTTAATTACATTTTTATAGTCGCATCTTTGTTACACTGGTACATTAATATGACATGTTGATATTTACTGTCTTTACTTCTGATTTGGAAGAAATGGGTGGACCCTGGGAAACGCATACCCCCTCATCTGATCTGTCCACTCACCAAAAAGATGTTTAGGGATCCAGTAGAAACAAAATACGGAAGCGTGTATGAGCGAAAGGCCATTGAACAACACCTCAAATCGTAAGTCTGGTAAATTTGTATTCATTATTGTTATGAGGTTTCATTTTATTTAAATCCCTTGAAACATTTCTACTGTATACAGCACACTATAATGTCATTATTAGCACATTTGCCTTGGAGTACCTCCCCAGTATCTACCTACAGTTTGTGTTTATTTTTGTAACAATAACCAGATAGAAGATAGCAAAAACCACAGAAGAAGCCAGTGAAATTTGTGATATAGGTATCTATGCAGGTCAGAATATACTGTATCTGTCCAAAGCTTGTTGCTCGGTTTGGACGCGAGACTTCAAATTCAGAAAGCCTGCATGACAAACTGGAAGTGAGATCCCAGACAGCCATACGTTGTAACCCAAAAAGGGAAAAAGAAATCTAAAATACAGTAAATTATTGTTCCAGTCCACTGTATGTATGTGAGTTTTAGGGTAACCACTCATCAAAGCCGTATCATGTGTGTAAATCGGCTCATGAGAGGGGTCTATTTTTATTTTTATTTTTAATATGACACTAATTACCTTGGAAATAAATGTCCAGAATCTGGATCTTAGTTTACACTCCCAGAAGCAGTGGGAATCTTTTATTATGTCTCCCTCAGTCTGTTCCAATGTTCAGATCTATACCTGAGCCTGAAACCTCAGCCATTTAAGAAAGTAAGCCAGCAAGGTTAAATTCTGTCTAGTTTACCTCCACTTTTTCTACTAACTGAACATCGTTTTACAGAAACAATCAAGATCCACAGGACCCAGAACAACTGCTCACCACAGCTGATCTTAAACCAGCACATGAGATGAAGAAAATGGTGAAGGATTATCGCTCTAAACAAATTCAGTAAACGTTAGAGCTACAACGCTGCCATTTTACATCACTTTCTCAAATAAACACAAATTGTCATCAAGAAAATGTGGAAATAGGAAAAAGTTAACTATTCCACTAAATGCAAGTTCATGTTGTCACATCATTCTGTGTAATCCTTTATTGTACTATTAATTACTTTGAGTTACACAGAAGAATAGTATAGTTATGACAAACTGACTCTGATTTGAATTATGTAAAAAAATCTTAGATTAAATAAGTTTCATATTTTAGAAACTTCTATTTTTATATTGTAGAGCTCATTCTTAATGACTTACATTCAGCACAGATGTTCCACCACCAGCAGTGACAGGATTGTAATCTACTCTCTGACTGACAGCAATAAACAGGCCTGTAATTTGTATATTCATCTATGCCTGAGAAACACAATGTTTTTTATCTGTAACTCATACTGTTCAATTATACTCTTAACTGTATGTCAATAATTACTGATTGATCCTTTACCCTGAACAGAAATTGATGATGATTCACGGGGGATGGGCAGTGAAATGTCTTCTCATGTTGTCTGAAGCACAATTTCTCTATTTTTGCTGCTTTTGTTATAATTAAGATTTTCATGTCTACTGATGATGACGTTGGTAAAAACCCTGAGTACATAAACAGTGAGCTTTATTGATGCTCCTGTGTTTGACTGTTTATGGGAAAAAATGAATGAAAATAAAAGTAGACGAGAAAAACTGCTCGACTGTGTTCAATTCACCTTTTTACTTCAAAGAAAATCTGAGTGGAGCTGTGTTGTGATTGCACTATAATAATCTGGTCATGATATTACAAATTAACATGAAAACTAAAAAGGTGTCCTTTTGTATAAACAGTTAATAGAAAAATCTTTTTATTCACAGTCACAGGTTTGACTGACAGCTGTTATCAGTGATTTTGGTTTTGAATATTTGAGCAAATCAAAAGGTTGAATAATAATGACAGACTGAATTTTATATAAAAGAGATGTTGCAAAGTGCTTCAAAGGCCAGTAAAGACAAGATATTAAGCAAAAACACAAAAATAAAGGAGCACAACAAGGAAAAATATTTTAAAAACCCAATATAGAATTCAAATACTTCACCAATGTAACAAGGAAACAGAAGCATACATTAATCATAGACACAGATTTTTAAGAATGTCAACTTAAAATAATAAAAGTGCTTTTTATTGTTCCCTCCATCAATCAGTCCTTTACAGTGTCAGTCAGTACAGGGAGCTGGATATTGGCATTGGACAGAAAAGATTGAATCCAGTTAAACTAACTCTGTCCCTGCAGTGGTTTATAAAATCAACTCATCGGGAAGAACTTCTGAATAATTCCCTGCAGCTGCATTTGAATCAAGAATATTACACAATCAGCATTCAACTCTGCTCTGTAGTGACACACATTCAGAAGTTACACACATTCTTTACTCAAGTAAAAACAAGCTCTAAATATATATTATATATAAACATATAAAGTACTCTCTTGGTTTCTCTGAAGGATTTCTACCGATTGTTTCTGTGCAAAGTGGAGTCTCTCTTTCTTGTCTGTATCGTCTTAAGTTGTTACGTTTTGTTACGTCAGTCATGTGTGATATGCAGCATTCTTTAAAGTGTATATACTGTCAAAGATTAAAGCTTGAATCTAAATGCCTAACTGCATTTTATTGTCTTAGTGGTTGTACTTTGTTCAATGACAATAAAGTTGAATCTAATCTTAACCAATCTTATCTAAATGAAGCATAAAATAAAGTACACTTGATACTTGGCACATTTTGCTGGTGATACTTGTTGATACTTAAAGAGCCACCATGAGGTCAAGCAGGGGAAGTTACCTGCTATCATCATCCAGTTTACAGTGAATATAAATGTGAAGCTCTCACATACCTTCAGTCTGTACTGACTGTATGAACCTTTAGAAAAACACATTTTGACATCAGAACATTGTCTACCAGAACTCAGTGCTTATTGCTTAATTGAATGAAATGGATGAATGAGACAGAGTGGAACATATTCCCAGTTACTAAAGACTCAATGTATGCAATTAATGGTTTATAAAATGGCCTCTGTTTAATGTGCAAGCTGTTTTTTTTTTTTTGTTTTTTTTTAATCAACCAGGGTGTTTTTCTGAAGGTAGCTGATGAAAAAGATTTGGATTTGATAGCTGGGTCACAGAATCAAAGATTATACAGCATGGGCTTCAGGATTGTCCATCTGTACAGAAAGATATTCTCTTTCTTGTCCTCCTGTACACATCAACAACACAAAACAGGTTATCAGTCAGTGATTTCCAAACTGAGTGTTTTCTGTAGTTTGAGTGCTCTGGGTTGAGTTTAGAGGAAAAGTCAAATTTGTGACTTACTGGCAATTAAGTTCATAGGCATTCCCTCAGCATTGGCCTCATCATTGGCCCCATCATTGACCCCTTGTCCAGCTGAACACATATCAACAACACAAAACAAGTTATCAGTCAGTGATTTCCAAACTGAGTGTTTTCTGTAGTTTGAGCGCTCTGGGTTGAGTTTAGAGGAAAAGTGAGAATAGGATGTGAAAAGGGCGATTATTTTATCAGCCCAAGCAGAGTCAGTCAGCAGTGGAGTGATGACACTTGTTGTTATTGACAGTGAGGAACTACAAGTAAAGGAGCTTGTCCCAGATCAACCATCATAATCAGACAGCAGGATAGTGAGAAAGCTCAGACACACTGTACATGAGAGGCTTCTAACTGGTTCAGCAGAAAGGTCAGATAGATGAATGCATGTGAATGTTTGTGTGCTTACTCACTGAAACAGCAGGGGCAGATAGAACGTACACTGATATTGGCCCCAACATTGGCCCATGATTTTCCTGAACACATATCAACAACATATATCAACATACCGAAAAACCCATTTCACTGTTCACTGTTGTTTGAAGACAGACTGTAAAACTGTAAACTGTCTTTTTAAATGGAGAAAATGGAGAGAGAGAAGATTATTGACTTACTGATCTTTCTACGATTCCTCCACAATACAACCAATGCAACAACAAGGGCAATGACAGCAAAGACACTGACAGGTATGCCTACAGCCATGCCGGTTATAGCACCAGTGCTAAAACCAGTGCCACCACCTGAAAGAACAGAGGAAAGATGTTGAGATGTGTTCTTCGCTGTTCCAAGATAACATCCATCAACAATATTTCCACAGCCACTTCTCCTGTTCATGGTCTCAATGTGTACTTGGAGTCCATCCCACCAAAACTGTCTGTTGGTTAGAATCTCTTTCATTGCACAACAGTAAACAAACAGTATTATCAGTGAGAATATTCTCCAGAAATACGAGGATCCAGGGTTATTTAAAGGACCGCTGTGGAGGATTCAGTGCCATCTAGTGGTGAAGTTACAGATTGCAAACAAGTGAATAAAACTTCCAAATGTGTTCTGGGCTCCTGTAGAAACATGGTGGTGACAATAGATCCTCCTGAATGTTACACACTGGACCTTTCAGTAGTCCTCTATCAGTGTGCTCTGAGATGATGAATGAGTTCATTATTTGTTAGAATGGCATCCTGTCAAATAAAGCATTACATTCAGAATTGCTCTGATTACTTTTGAGGTTAAAGAGGTCATATTATGCTCATTCTCAGGTTCATATTGTAAGGAGGAGAGAAACAGGAGTGATATCTGTGTACATTGTGGACTGCAGTAAAGACAGCACTTATCTGGCTCTGTGTCTGTGGAAACAATGAAATAAAATATTAAAATATGTGATAACATTCAGACCAAGAGGAGATGACAGCTGATGAGGAGATAAATAAGATATTTACTTACTGGTATTATTAGTCTGACCTCCCACTGGCTCTGTTGGAAAATTAATACAAAACCTTTAACACGTGACAAATAGAACATTTCCTCTTATTTCATTTGAATGTGTAATATATTAGCTGTACTCACCAACAGTGAGGTTAATGAAGCCTCTCCTGACCTGACTTTGCAGTTTGGGAACAAAGCAGGTGTAACTTCCAGCATCCAGTTCAGTTACGTTGGTCAGTTTTAGTGAAATGTTTCCTCTGATCATTTCTTCATGGAAGAGAGATGTTCTACCTCTGAAGTTCTCATCCTGATCAGTTAGATAGTCCTTCTCATGGCGCCAGATGTGGACATATTCTCTATCATGTGTCCACTCCACTGTTAGAGTCCTCACATTGAATGGAGGCTCCAGGTGACATGGCAGGATGACGTTATCACCGACTGTTACTGTAACTGGTTTGTCTGAGCCAATCACCTCAGACTGTCCTGCAGAGACAAACATCATATTTACACTTCCTGTTACAGAATCATTAAACACTGATATTAAAATATTTCATTAGTACAGTATTAGTGGTGGACTGATATGGTTTTAATGGTTAATACTGATATTTAGAGAGCAGGGCGGCTGATGGTCGATATTTAATACTATTTGCTGTATTTATAATGCATGTTGAGTTAAATGTTGTTTCAAACTGATTTTGTATTGATTAGTGAAAGAGAAAAATACACTGTGGGGTTCAGAATGGGACTGGTATTTGAGGGGGAGTCAGACAGTACACTCATATGTGGCATTATTAAGAGGCTAGGGGAGGGTTAGCTTCACACAGTGCTGTCAGTATCACAGTGATCTGAGGTCAGCAGCACATTATTCAGTACCCACACACTGCTGTCCAACACATTATTATTGTTATTATTATTATTATTATTATTATTATTATTATTATTATTATTATTAATAATAATGTTATTATTATTAGTTGTAGTAATATTGGTATTAATGCTCTAGTGTATTAATTGCAATAAAATAACAGAAAAAAGTGAATGTTGCACATTTTATATTTATTTTCTCTTACTGTATTTATTATCATATTGTAATTATTAGTCATTTTCATAAGAGAGCAATAAAGAAGATGACATAAAACGGCTCTGTGTGTCTTTCAGCAGTACTCAGAGGCCACCCTTACCATAATAACCCTACTGTAGGTGCAGCCACATCCGGACAGCAGCTGACTGTACCGCAGTAGTTAATGGAGGTGAGTAAAAAAACACAGTGCGCCAACAAAACTTAAATCACGCAACAAATAGCGAAATAAACTAAATAATAAACCATTATCATATGGTAAATGATATATAGAATAAAATATTGTAAGTTTTGGCTATAATACAAGTTAGTAACAGTCCATGAGACTTACCTGTGGCTGCGTCCATTACAGCAAAAATCAGAACCAGTCCGATCAGGAGTTTATTCTGGGTCCCGGTGAGGAGAGAGCGGGTGGAACAGCACGCAGCAGCCCGGAGACAGAGCACCGAACCCGGGGTCTTTTTTCTCGAAGACTCTCCGTCCACTTCCTCATTAAAGATACCCTTTATCTGATATTCAGCCAACCAATCAGACGGAGGTCCGAGTCAGTTTCGCTTTAAGTGGGATCCTGGCTGTTACTGTAACTGGTTTGTCTGAGCCAATCACCTCAGACTGTCTTGCAGAGACACACATCATATTTACACTTCCTGTTACAGAATCACTGACACTGACCCTAATCGAGAAATTATTTTCAGAAACATTCAATTAGTACAGTAGTACTGGTGGACTGATATGGATTTTTCAATGGTCAATGCTAATATTTAGAGAGTAAAAATAAATATAAAGTTATGTATAATTCCATTATTCCATGCACATTACAATCTAATATACATGCTTATCTGAGCCAGAAAAATACAGTTTTAAATATATTTTTTCTTAATTAATAACACTGAAGGTTTCACAATGTGACTGGTATTTAAAGCAGAGCGGGGTACAGTCATCCAACTGCATTGTTCTATACATTATAACATATATTTAACACTAGCCAGCAAAGGTTTGAGATTTGATTTTCTGTCATTTAGGAGACACATGTTAACATTTATAAAAGATGATGGATGAAACGTTTACAGCAGTAAGTGAGTTATAGAACTAATGCATCAAACAAAGTTTTTCACCAATGTAATAGAAAGGTTTAAGAACCTAAATGACATCAAGGTTACGCTGATTTTATTGGTTCCACATGTCAAAGATCACAGTTAAAAGATGCACTAACTCTGCTACCCTCTTCCCAACTCCAGGTGATGGGCAGCAGCATGTATTAGCTGAAGCTTGCTCTCACAGGCCAGGTTGACCTTTGCCTTTGGGCAAATAGAAAAACTCTTAAAATCCATCGGTAAATCTGTTGCTCCTCACACCCTTGTAACTGAACTTCTTGATACTGTGTTGTTACCTAAACAAATTGCAATCTGCAAATGTGCCGCCGTCTCTGTGTTATCTCTGATGCCAGCGAGTTACCTGTGGCGCCGGAGGGGCAGCAGATGGAGAGAACTGGGCTGTGTGTTTCTGCTGACTGCCACCATCGCCCTGCCTGTTACCACTACTTGAGACGCCTCAGTCAGAACAAAACAAACATCACAACACTCTTTTGAGACTATAAAATGCTCAAAGCCATACACAACAGGCTATTATATGCATAAACCTTTGTTTCACCCTGTTTCCAACTACACTTTATGTCCAGGTAAACAGCAGGATGTTGAGACTTCACCCGAATATCAAGGACATGATAAGACACATCGATATGCTTGTTTGTTGGCACACCTGGGCACCCTGGTGGTCATAATGTTCTGCAGTCCCACACCAACAGACTGCTCTGCACTGTGTGTTCTGACCCCTTTCTATCAGAACCAGCATTAACTGTTTCAGCAGTTTGAGCTACAGTAGCTCGTCTGTTGGATCGAACCACACGGGCCAGCCTTCACTCCCCGTCTGTATCAATGAGCCTTGGCCGTCCATGACCCTGGTCACTGTTCTTTTCCTTCCTTGGACCACTTTTGATAGGTACTGACCACTGCAGACCGGGGACACCCCACAAGAGCTGCAGTTTTAGAGATGTGCGGACCCAGTCGTCTAGCCATCACAATGTGGTTCTCTGTAGAGTCTCACAGAGCTAACATTACCAACGTTGAGACAAGCAGCGATGGACAGACTGCCTTCACAGTCTCACTGCAGTTTCACTTTTGTGTGCAAGGTGGAGTCAATGGATCTTTGTGTGTCCTGACATTTGGATAATAACAAATTACACAACACAGGCAGCAACAAACAACTAGTTTAAAAACTAGTTTTACAGCATCTATAACAACCTGTTGTCACAAATAATGGATATGAAACAACTTTATGATGTTTCCACCCAGCAGCTGAATCCAAACCAAGACCAAGACCTCCACTGACACTGACTCTTCAACCCACCACCCGCCCTGAATATATGCTTTTCATAACTGCACTTCCCCTGGATGAAAAAAACAAGTCTGAAGGAAAATTTGGAAATAAAACAATTGATTGATTTCTAATGCCACCTTTATATATTTCTATTCAGTGCCAAGCAAATATTGATACATGTGATTGTGACTCCATGAATATTTCTTTGGATCCACCCCTGACACAGAGCAGGGATGATTGATTGTAGTTGTGATTTTTGGACTGTATAATTACAATTTGACATGACTCTTTTGTGTGTGAAGCACAAAGATTACATTCAGTATTTCTGGCTTGGATTCTTTGTTGTTGCTTATTAGAGAGGAAATCAGCGTGAGAGGTGGTGTAGGTGTTGTATGGCTTATTAAATGGAGTTGGAGGCAGAAACTCTTCCCTTCAACCAAGTAGTCATAATGTATCGGGTTCTTTGGCCCTTGGGCATCAAAAAACTGACCATCTTGGATATTATATTTAGATCCTTTGAATGATTGCTATCAGCATGCAATACTGAATTGTGTTCCATATCTTTATGGTAGACTGAAATGTGAATGGCTCCAGTTAGATCCAAGTAACGGATTTTCTTAGCCCTGAGTCCCCATCACTCAGTGATACTGAGTTATTGGGGTCATATGATTTCAGAAGGTCATATCTTAAAAACAGGAAGAACACAAACCTGTTATTCTGCATCATCACTGTCATTGACAAACATTATTTCATTCAATATTTTGAATAATATGTCTTCCAGTATTTGGTAGCTGGGTCAAAGAGTCAAGGCTTATCATCAAGTACTAGTTGGTGTTTCTTCTTCTTCTTGGTGATTCTACGTATCAGGATTTCCCCCAAGATCGTCGGTCCAGGATCGTCCCTGTTTACAAGAAAATACTCCCTCCAATGTCCTGAACACATATCAACGACACAAAAGTTATTAGTCAGTGTTTTCTGTTCTGTTGCATAATATGGCCTCATTAAGACTGGTGCTGTGCTGGGTTCTGCATTATATAGATCAGATCTTTGCTCAAAACCTGGTTCTATTTAAATGCATTTCATTGATGATTCCCTGATTAGTTGTGTCAATGAGAAAGGTGTAACCCGTAGAGATGAACCTATATGTGGGGTATAACAGAATATTGTGAGAAATATATCTCTGGTGAAAAACAACAAAGACTAAATGAATCACAGGCAGGTACACACCGTCTGCACTTGAGAACCCCCAAAGCACTTTAGTGCCACCTTCAGGCGATAACAGATAACAACATAGCGCTCCAAACCAGCACTGGTAGTGCAACAGTACATCCTCACTGTTGTTTGTTGCACTTTGTCACATTTAGTTACTTGTTTCTTCTTTTCTACTTATATTACCTGTAAGTGCTTACATTTTGTTGCATTTAGTTAATTGTTTGATTTATTTTATGTTAGCCTTTATTTTATTTTATTTTACTTTATTTTATTTTATGTTAGCTTATTTTTTACTCTAACCCTGTAGTACTTTACTTTACCACCTTTGTATTGAAACTGTTGCACAGTAATTTCCCTCGGGATAAATAAAGCTTCTTGAATCTTGAATCTTGAAAATACCTTTGTATATATAATTGTTTCTCTGTCTGGCCCACAGTTTTACTGTTTCGGTTAACCATTTTCCTTGGTGGATGGCAGTAATAATTAGTATGTCAGAATGCATGTAGTTGTCTCACCCGTCTGTCGGTCAGTATTGATTACAAAATGTGCATCTCTTCTGTGGCTAATGTTCATTTCATTATGATCCTTACTGCATAAAGTGTGTAAATATACAACTGGCCCATTTTTGGGTGAACTAAATATGCAAGAGTAGTCATACACATCACTGTTAATGACACGGGCCAGTTATTCATTCCTGGACTGCAGGCCACCTTTATGTTCCAAGGTTGTGAAAAATATAATAATGACTTTTTCCCATCCTTAATGCAACCAGAAATGAGAATCAATAAAAAAGTGTTTTTTATCAAAACTCTTTAATTGTTATTTTTTTTGTCCATTTCAATGAACATTGGGTCCAAACAGTTGTTAAAATACCAACATCATATGACAACATCATACCTATTTTTTGTCTTACAATTGTCACATTGACATCACATGGAACATGAGCTTGAACAGTTCAAATGATGTTTTTTTGTAAGGTCCAAACAGTTTTAAAATATAACATCATAGATTTTTTTGTTTGTTTGTTTGTTTGTTTGTTTGTTTGGTTACAATTTACCAACAAAAAAAGCTATAGAATCTCACAATTCTGTCACTACTGCCTCATTTTCTGTGGGCATATTTGAAACAATTTCTCTGTGACACAAAACAGAAGTGCACCTTGCACTTGTCACAGTAGACATGTGTTTTTCCTGAACAGCCTGGCAATTTGCACCTTGTTGCTTATTTTTTTGCATCATAATTTGGCATGTGGTCCAGCATGTCGGTCTGCACCTCTTGAATGGGCCGTTTTTCCATGGCTCCTCTCTTTTTGGTGGCTCATCATGGTGAGTTGGACTCGTACATGGACTGGGTGTGTTGGAACTTTTTGAATCATTTTCTCAATGCGCGGCGCTTCCCCATGCGCACAAGAGCTTCTGCCACATTCAATTTGAAGTCAAGGAGATCCATGACTTGCTGTGGCTGAGTGCCCTGGCGTTCTTTGTCTCTGCAATACTCAAGCCAGCTGTTCACTACAGCAACATCAAAGGCATGAGTAATCATGCGCCCATTTGCGGGACCAGATGGTAATCCTGTAAAGGCTGATGAGTTGATCAAGCTTGTCCACCCCTCCCATGGTCTTGTTGTATTTCTTCACCACCTCTGGACGCTTGACCTTAAGGAACCGCCAATCTTTCTTCTCCCACCTAGCAACTTCGTCTTCATCTCCTACACCAACAAAGTTGGAGGCCAGCACAACAGAGCAGTTATCAAACCACTTCACTAGAACCACCTTTCCATCCCTACTCCTCACTTCATCGGGTTCCCTCGCTCTTTCTTTGACATTTCCTTGTCACTCTTCAGTGGGGGCTTTGCAAAGCAGCCAACCCTAGCTGGGCCAGCCGCATGGATTTTCTTTTCTGCCAGCACTTCAAGGACATTGTAGGTGGTGAAGAAGTTGTCAAAAAAAGCGTGTGGTTAGGAGTCTGGATTCTCTGGCACAGGTGGGCAACCACACCTGCTCCATGTCCTAAAACCTTCTTCCTTAAAACCTTCAGAGAGCTCTGTTGTGGCACCTTGATAAATGAGGAAGTCATAAGCAAGGCCACTTTTGCTGCAGAGGAAATATATCTTGACTCCCCATGGTTCTGGCTTCCCTTTGATATACTGAAGCACAGAAAGTTTCCCCCTGAAAGGCACAATCTGCTCATCAATAGAGAGATGTTCCTCCACTTGCAGCTCTAGACAGCATTTCCTTATGGAGTCATAGAGTGGTCTGGCCTTGTAGAACACATCAGTGTCTTCAGAAGGCTGGAAAAATCGGTCACGAGACAGGGTATCCCGGAAAAGGCTGATATTGATACTGGAAGACCAGTACATTCACACTCTTGGCAAACCCAGTGCCCCCATTGCCAAATGTAGACCAACAAGGGCTTCAATCTCAGAACTTTATGCATGTTTATACCCCCTGACTGCATTTTGTTCTGCATAGATGTTAGTCATTGTTGTCATCAGCTGGAACATCTCACTGGGAACATACTGCTTGAAGTAGCCATATGGTGTTAGTGGCTCAGGGGGTTCAGGAGCAGGAGCAGGACTTTCGTGTTTGCAAAAGGGCCATCCTCAAGTAACAGGTTTCTATCTGCCTCCTCAGGCTTATAATCCTCTCTGTCTTCCTCATCCTGACCTTCCACTGCCTCAATCTCAACTTCTTCCCCTACTAATAGTACCTCTGCCTCATCCCTGTCTTCCCCTGAAATCATTAGCAAAACATTATCTGTCTGTGCTATGTCACCATACTGTTCCTGAGTATGTAAGGGCCCTAAACTTTGTATTCATTTAATTTATTTATTTAAAATCTTATATGTGATGTTATGTGATGTTTATACTAAAACTATTTTTCAATATGACATTCTATGACATCTATCAGCATCTCCATCTTCCTCCTCGCTTCCAAGAATGTCAATATCAGAGATATTTCCATTGTCGATCAGTTCAAGGACTTCAAGGGCTGTATATTCTGCATATGGAATATTTCCAACTGATTATCAACTCATTCTCTTGTTCTGATGTACTGTTTTTATAGTAATGTCATTCATCAATACTGGCGAATTGAGTTCAATAACATGGCTTCTGACCATTCCGTCCATTCTAATGGACAGCGATATTTGAAAAAATCCTGTGTAAGAACTCGCACTGAAACATGTGATATTACACTTCTATTCATACATTCCATCTTTCAATATTATATCAAAACTATGAAATCTTGGCACAAATATCTATAAATGTGACTAAACTTTTGAAAATGATCCTTACTTCGACGTGTGGGGTGAAGCCCTGCCATGCCTCTCTTCCGTGTGGTGGATTTTTTCATACGTCGACAAGCAAAGCTATACTGCCGTTTGATTGGTTGTTAAACGTTCAATTCAATGGACTTGAGGGTTCAAGTGGTGTTAAATGTTGCAAAAAGTAAAAAAAAAAAAAAAAAGCCCCTGTCATGTGACGTCCATTGTAATGAGCATACCCACTCTCCCAAGCACCACTACACCACTGGTTGCTCCATAACTGCTGGATGTGTAAATAAGCTTTTTGCTAAAAGGTTCACCATATCAGCTTTAAACATGATGATATGTCAGTGTTGTGTTCATATCTTGCTTTTACTTCCCCTCAGTGGACAACAGGTCAGATCAGTTACTACAGGTTTCATTATTCACTCAAATAAATAAGTCTATTTTTATAACTGTGAAGCACCAAATGAATAACAATATCTGATACTTTCAATGAGTTGGTTCAGTGTTTATCAGGAGAAAATCATACTACTGATAAATAATAAGAAAGAAAGAAACTCAATACCAGTTCAAGTACAGTGTGACCACTAACTGGAGAGGTGTTGTCTGCCAATCTACATCTCCATCCTCCAGTCCAGCAAGTGGCGATAATGTACGCGCCGGCGGGTGTCACACAGGAAGGCCGAAGCTCTCTGGATAACGTGGCCGGGTTCGGTGCTCTGTCTCTCGGCTGCTGCACGCTGCTGCTCCCGCTCTCTCCTCACCGGTAACCATCGGTGACTGTACGCACTGGGGACACTGGGAACACTGTGAACCACCGGTGACTGCGCGCACTGGCAACACTGGGAACCAGCGGTTACTGGAAGCTTCATTACAAAAAACGAAAGTGAAAGTATTGAATGACTCAGCTCATTAGATTAAAGACTCTCTGACACATCGAGGCAGTGATGAAGTGGGAAGCCGGACTAATTCTTGCTGTATTGGTTTGGATTTTTATATTAATCAATGCAGTCAGAGGTAGGACTGACAAACTGTTACTAACCTACATTATATATCATGTATCATCAATATATAATTCAATACAATTCAATATTATATATTTAATTGCATTGAATTTCATTTAATTATATGTTGTGTTTTTACTTTAGGATAATGAGTCATTAGTTATTCTGCAGATTGTTGCCGGGTTAAAGTTCTCTTGGCGCAGGAAGGCCCATCAAGGCCTCATCCACCGTAAAGTGGATGGTGGATGACAGTGTTTGTTTTTAATATTTAAAGATGTCAGATTAAAACCTCATGTGTAACTCTTTTGTATAAGATTACAACCTGACTGTGACCACTGATACACATACTGATTAATATGAGTCATGCTGTGGTTTATTTTTCCTCTGATGTCTGTTTGTGGCCTTCAGGTACACGCCTGTTCACCTTTAAGTGAAAAACAACGCTGTCATTGTTCCACTTTGGTTCTTTCAAAAAGGTTTAATGTTCCACATCACTGACCCTTCATCTCCTCAATCTGGTCTCTCTCTTTGTTTTAGAGAGCGTAGCCTGACTCTAAAGGTACGGTGTGGTTCAACCTGCTGATCCAAACTATTTATAGGACAAATAAATAAACTCACTTTACACACTTTATAATAAAGCTCCAAATCATACAGGCCACTTAAATGATAATTAACTAATGCATGACTCATGGTTTAATACTTGAATGTAATGCAGGATCCATCCTGTTCCTCCCTGTTAACAAATTATCGATTTAATTAGTTCATACTTAATCATCAATAAAGGAATGTTAATTCAGTTATACCTTAATTAATACGCCACCAAATTAGCTGGAATTAAGTTACATCATTTATTTTGTATTTATCCATTAATGCCGTCACCACCCACTGTTTCTTATATTTTATTGCTTTCAGTAATAAACATACCATAACATTTTATTTAACCTTTTCTTTTCTTTTCCTTTTCTTACTAAGCACAATGCCAGCATCTAACCATCAAAGTAAGGAAGCGCAGTGCATTTACCAAAGAGAGGATTATTACGAGTTTATCATCATTACCAGACGATTACCATGACATCGTTTGCTTGTAATTATGAGAAAAGGTTTTATATTAATTAAGGCTAAGGTATAAGGAGTGTTAAACTGAAGTTCTGGAATTAATTCATCAATATGAGAGAGGCTGTGATATTTCCTCTTTGGTAAATGCTCTACGCTTCCATAAATAAACCAATGATACCAACTGCTTCAGATTGGCCTGTTTAGTCCTGACAGTGTGTAGTACAGCTTTAGGGTTGCCAGGTCGGCTCAGGTATCCACCATATCTCACTCTTATTTTTATTTATCTTGTATTTCTTCCACAGACACAGAGCCAAAGCCAAAGGCAGAGGCAAGAATTGGTCGTGGTAAGTAAAACTGAAGTGCTGTCTTTACGGTAATTTATTATGCAGATATCTCTCCTGTGTCCTTTGCTCTTCATTCCACAATGTGTTGTTTGTTACTAACACATCAACCTTATCAAGTCCGGTTGCTCTTGAGCTGAGACTCAAGACAGGTGGTGGCGCTGTCTGATGACGTTTCACTCGTATCTAGGCAACACAGCATCATTAAATTCCATCATTTCAACTCTTACACACTCTTCATTCGACTAAAAGATGAGCTGTTGCCAAGCAGTCCCCGTTTTAATGTGTTTCATAAACAGTCTGACAGTCTGATGAGATCGGCTCTGTTTTTTTGTCCACAGACACAGAGACAAAGCACCAGCAGGATCGTGGTAAGTTAAATAAAAGTGCTGTTACTCTATCCTGTTATATTCTGTTCCTGCAGATATCACTCTGGAGGGTGTCAGGTGTTAAAGATCATCAGGTATCCACCATATCTCACTTATTTTATTTTATGTCTTGTTACAGAAAGGGACCTGTTGACGTGCCAGCCGAGCCCAGTTGTAGCAGCAGTGGGAGAGGACGTCACTTTGGACTGCCACTTGAAGCTTCGACGCAATGTGACGCACAAAACAGTTGAATGGACATTCAACGAGTCCGAGCTCGTCCTTGTTTACAGGAGTCGGGGGTTTTCTGCTAACCAGGCAGAGCGATTCAAAGGCAGAGCATCTCTGGACAGCAGTGGGAGTCTGTCGGAAGGGAAACTCCCAGTGAAGATCTCTTCAGTGGGTAAAACTGACGCTGGGACGTACAGCTGCTCTGTTGGAACTAGAAGAGAACGAATCTCCTGCAGTACTGAACTCATCGTTGGTAAGCAGTACAGTGTAACTCCTGCTTTCATTGCTTGGTATGCTTGTTTGGGTATTTGAAAATGTCTGCATACTGGGGTCCTTAAACAGTGCTGGAACTGCACAAAGTGGGAATTAGTGGAAAGCTGAGATGCATACATCATGCCACCCCAGTCTAAAGCTCTGCCAGTAAGTTATTGTCCAATTACAGAGTAATTTACAAAGTGCTGAAACAAGGAACACGAGAGACATGAATCCAGTTAAATCAGATAAAACAGAATGATTAAACTTAAATGAAACTTTACTGTAATCATTTAGTGTAATATAGTTAAAGCCCAGCTCAGGGTGAACACGAAGGAGGAAAAGCCTTGGGTTGTATCAGATAAAACTATTAAAACCATTTACTGTAATATACTCAAAGAGATTCAATAATCATATCTTTTGATTTAAAGTCAGTTTAATTAATTACAGCACATATAAACCTTTGTCCTTGTGATCAGACAGAAAAATAAACATCAGTCTCTGAACATTAATAAATGTCCCCATGAGTTTGCTTAAAACACACTTTGAATTAGAATTATATATATGCTTATATATCATATATCTATATATTTGGGACATTCTGTGTTTTCCACTGCTGTGCCTGTAAGTACAGCCTCATACAGCCTTTAGCTGAGCTTTATTTTTTACATCAAAACACCCAAACTCATTCCTCCTGAACCACAAAATGATACAATAGAGGCTTGTAGTGACATTCTTCATAAGACAGGCAGCTGTCTGATGACATTTCTCTTGTATCTAGCCAACACAGCATCATTAAATTCCATCATTTCAACTCTTACACACTCTTCATTCGACTAAAAGATGAGCTGTTGCCAAGCAGTTGCAAGTGTTTCATAATGCTGCAACAATAAGTCACAATGCATTGTTTGTTTCCCAGGACAGTCTGATGAGATTGGCTCTGTTTTTTTGTCCACAGACACAGAGACAAAGCACCAGCAGGATCGTGGTAAGTTAAATAAAAGTGCTGTTACTCTATCCTGTTATATTCTGTACCTGCAGATAACACTCTGTTGAATCTGGAGGGTGTCAGGTGTTAAAGATCATCAGGTATCCACCATATCTCACTCCGTCACTCTTCTCTTCGTTAAACCAACCCACTTTTTTTTTAAACAGGAGAAACACGTGCCTGCTTAGATCATACTGCTAACACTGTGATGAGTTAAAAAATATATATATATATATATATATACGCAAAATGATACAATAAAAGCTTGTAGTGACATTCTTCATAATTTGTCTCATCTTCATCACTTTGGTCTTTTCTCAGCAGTTGGTACAGACAACCAGATCAAGAACAAAGCGAACCCAAGTGTAAGTAAAGTATAGAAATGTCAGAAAAATGCCAGAAAATATATATATTAAAGTATTAATTTGTATATTAAAGTGTCTGAGTTGTTTTATACTGTAACATATATATTAAAGTATTAATACATATTGCATATTATGTTTGAAAATGAAAAACGCATTTTACATTTCATTTTTAACCACTTAACTTAAATAAACTTAAAAAAATATTTTCATGCAATAATTGAAACAGCGCCTGCCTGTCTACGGCATTTACAACCACAGGTCACCTCGCTGTTTGAGTGTCAAAATGAAAAGAATATGTCAGTCCTCTCGTCAAGGCAGGATTTCAGTGAGGGAGTCACTCTGGAGGCCCCCAGAAAGTACGCTGGGCGCCAATTTCACGCCTGACGGACAGATGGCACTTTTACTCTCAGAGAATATTTTAAGCACTAATACCAGTGTGCAAAGTAACAAACAGCCTCTCCGAGTGCACACTGTGACCCTCAGACAGAGAAGCGGGAATGGAGAATGGATGGATGTTATCTTAGAAGCCAAGAACAAATCTTAACATCTTTCCTCTGTCCTCTCAGGGACCTACATTTGCACTGGTGCTGGTTACGTTTACATTCCTGTACAACTGAAGAACAGTAAGTCACACATTTCCTCTTTCTTAATTTTTTCTCATATTTGGTTCACAGTTTTGAAATCTGTCTTAAAGCATTAGTAAAGTCCCCACATGTAGAGTGCAACAGTTTCCATTTGCTGTAATCATTCCTCCTGTTTAAACACTAGAAGGCTGTTCTCACATGAACCTGCTGAAGAGGAATGTTTCTCTGAGGTCACCTTAAATCTCAGTTTAACCTCTCTATGTACCAACTGATTTGTGACTTTTCTGTGCAGTTTTTTCACCAAAGTTTTCCCCTTAAATGGGTTTTGAGGACAGATTGTATTGAATTAAGAGGCTGACATCCTGGTGCATTCATAGTGCAATAGCTTAGAGTTAGGATTAGCATCTGAGAGGGCACCAGGGTTTTCTTTGCTGCCTCAGATTTCAAACTTTTAAACATCCGCTACAGTAGATTGTGTTGAATGCTGCTGTAGTTGTACCTGATTAAACGTAACCCTGTGTGGACCGGAGAGGTCAAAGAACAGAAAAAAGCTCATGAGCCATTTTGGAAAGCACTGACTAATGATCTGTTTTGTGTCGTACAGATAGGACACAACAGGAAAAACATGGACTGTTACTCTGAGGACAAGCTTGGGACAATGCTGACAACAGTCCTGAGTCTGAACACCGTGAGAAACACACCAGTGACATAAATACTTGAGCTTAACTCTTGGTTCTTTGACCCAGCTGCCAAACGTTTATTGCACTCAAAACATTTTTATCAGGTACTTCCAGTAAAACCTCCTGGTTGATGGATCGTTTTATATCATGTCTAAATCATCACTGTTTGTTCAATTAAGCTCTCAACTCTCTGCTGTTCCTCAAACTGTCTTTAACAATCTCCTAGAGTCAAAATGTCCAAATGTTAACTGTAGCTCGGGCCTAAGACCTCCTGGTGGCGCTGTTTGTCATTGACACTAGGAAGAAATACGCACATAATGACGACATACCTCGTCCTACAGAAATTCCAACAATGAGGGGCCAAGTATTCTGTCGAATCTTTTATACGTGAATGTTGATTTTGTACGGATTAAAATGCAGCTGCACTGTTCAGAGGTTCTTCTTGATATGAACTCTGACTGAACCAGATTTTTTAAACAACTGTAGGGATGGAGCTGGTATTTTATTGTTGTATTTGTGCTCGTTTTTGCCATCTTGTGAAGCGATGTACAACGTCATTTTTAAAAAGCACTTTTATATTATTATTATTTTATATTATATTTTTACAACCATAATCAGTTTTTTAAGCTGTGAAACATCTGGACATTGTTAAAGACACATATCCCAAAAATCTTCTATCTTTGATCAGAAAGCAAATACTGCACAAATTCTGCCCAGTTGGTTCATTTAGCACTACTATAGAACAATTACTATTTTTCTATGTATTTTTTTACATAGTTTTATAATAATTGTTTTTTATGGATGATTTGTGTGATTAATTAAATCCATTTGACTCAATCTCTGATGTGTGGGGTTTAATGTGTATGTATGTAATATGGATCTTGATGTTTAGTTGATGTTGCCCTCTTTAGAGAGACATGCTTTGTCCCAGGTGTGCTCTGATTGGTCCAGCTTGTGAGTGACTCTCAATCATGCAGAACACAAACAAAGTAAAAAGGTGAATTGAACACAATCAAACAGCACTTTTATTTTACAATGAGAATTTCTATCCCACAAATAGTAAAAATAATATGCAAATGTGGCTGCTTATACACAAACAACTTTGAAGCTCATTGTTTTTGAACTCAGAGTTTTTACCGACATCATCTGCTCCAAATTCAGTAAACAAAGACATTCAAATATTAATGAAAACACAAAAGCAGCAAAATTAGACAATTTGTGCTTGAGACATATCATGAGAAGAAGTTTGACTTCAATGCCCATCCCATGTTCATCATCATCATCATCATCAGTGTGATTTCTGTTCAGGTCAAATGATCAATCAGTAATTCACTCACATACATTACAGTAGAAAGCAGAGGCCAAGAAAGATGAAGATGAAAAACTCCACAACATGAATGGAAAATAAAACCTTTCACAAGAGCAAAAATAACTGGTTGCACATGCAGTTGGTGACAGTTCCACGCTACAGATTGTACAAAGGCAAAGTGAAATATCTGAAATGTTCATTCGACAACTAAATACAAGCCAGCAGAGAGAGAGAGAGAGAGAGAGAGGCTTTGAAACAGCCAACGCTCTCCTACAAGAGAAACAAAGATCACAGCAGCTTATCTGGAAAATGTTCTCACCTAGCCTGCTATTAAAGCTGATCACAGGGGAAAGAGCTTTAGGGCTCCAAAAGCATGTGGAGAGAGACACCTTCAACTTCCACATGGACAGCAAAGACCGGAAGCAAACTCATTGAAAGAACTGTGGCTGGGATCAAGACATTCAGTCATATGGCAGCAGTGGATCAACTGGTTGACTGCAGCTGCTTGAAACCACAGGACTTTGGACCACCTGTACGCACTCAGTTGCTCCACTTTGCTGATGGCAGTGAAGGAGGATATGGCGCTATACCATCAGAAGTACACGCCCATTAAAAAATGTAATAGAGAAAAATCCATTGCATTGGTGTTTTGGTTTAAAGTAAGAGACAGTATAAGTAAAGGTTGGAGCTACAGTGGTACACTCTCACATACAGTAATACATTGAACTATTGCAGCTTCATGTTGTTCAGGTAGCATCATTCTGTTTGTGCATTGAGAAATGAACATTAATATCCTTTAAATATTCTACTATTAATTACTGAGAGTTATACACAATGAAGTTCTAACAAACTCAGACTGACTTTGATTTTCTTCTTTCAGTTCAGTGTTGTAGAACATTAATTGGTCAGCTGCAATAAACTTAAAGATTCTGCACTTCCCCAAAATATCAGACCAAATAAGAACAAAATGTCAGGTACAAGTTAAAAACATTTTATATCAAATGAGTTCTAGTAGTACAATGTGTTTTAAAATACAATCATCACAAGGCAGCAAGACAAGATAAAATGAAGCAAAACACACAAAAAAGCAGCACAGTCATAAAAAAATAAAAAAATATGCATATAAAACCCAAATATAAAAAATATATATGTAGTGACCTTAAAATAATAACAGTCTTTAAGTGCTTTTTATTGTCCCTTCTGGTCAAATTTAATCAACACATCAGGAAGAACTTCTGAACAATTCCCTGCAGCTGCATTTTAATCAAGAATCAACATTCACATAGAAAGAAGTTCTGGATGAAATGGTTGTACTGTCTGTATTTGCTACTTCAAACATTGCTAACTGCACAAAAAAACACAATTACTTAATACTAATTCAATCAAATTGTAATGTTGGTTGTGAATATTGGACCAAATGACAAGGTTCTATAATAAAAACATTTTATATACAGTAAACGGATTCTAGAGTTCTTCAAGGGCAGTAAAACAAGATAACGTGACGCAAAAACACCAAAACAAAACCGCACAAAACAATAATAATAATAAATAAATAAAATAAATAAAAAATACTAGTATTACTATTATTATCACTGCCATTATCTTTATCATTATTATTATTAATAATAATTATAATATTATTATTAGTATTATTATTATAGCTCATAAAACACCTGATAAAATGTGGATGGAACAAAAGCTATTGTGGCGGAGGCTCAAAGATAGTAGACTGGCTTCTCTGATTCGTAATCGCGAAGTGTGCGTCTGCTAGAACGGACCTAAAGTTCCCCCAAGACTTAGATACAAATTAGGAAGGAGACAATCAATCCATTTATGGCGCTTTAATCCAGTGTGGTTCTGGAATAACCCAAAACAATAACAGCCATCAATAACAGGTCACAATGTGCTTAACTATAGCACACAAATTAAATAATAATATAATCATCCTTAGCATGAAATTATATGAACATCATATAAAGAAGGAATATACATTATATGATATATCCCATATTAACTGACAACAAAGGAAATGGTCAGTGGAATAAATATAACATAAATTACCATTTACACCATCAGAGGTAAGAGTTAACACTAGTAGAAATATGCATTGTAGAACCAGATATAATCTCAACCAGCAGACATATAAACTGATAAAATATACAACAATGACATTACATCCAGCAAATAAACAACATAACTTAAGTTTCTCTGGACGCACACTGAACCACAAACGGCAGATCAACTGATACAAAGTAGCAAACACAACTTCTACTGCCCGCCATACACACGTCTCACCGTCGTCAGTCTCTACTCCTCTCCCTCACAAGCAGCAGCACTCGGCCCGATTGAGCGCGATAGCGCCCCTAGTGGCTGGATCTGGCCAAGTCACCTGCTCTGTCATGCAGCCTTCAGAACAGCTATTTTTTCTTACTAGCTGACATTTCTTAAGTTGAGCATACCTATATTCTCACCATTACCCCCATCACTGTCCCCATCACTGTCCTCTGCATTGTCTGCATCATTGTCCTCTACATTGTCTTCAGCATTGTCCTCTGTATTGTCCTCTGTATTGTCCTCAGCATTGTCCTCCTGACTACCTTCCCTGTTCTGCCCGTTTCGTCCTGTCGTGTTGCGTGTTGCACAGTCCGTCGCTGTTAGACACAAAACCAGTTATTAGTCAGTGCCTTACAAAATGTCCCATGAGCATTTTCTGTTCTTTGACCGCTTTGATCAACACATGTTTAAGTTTACACATTAAAACCACTTGGTTAAAGCTCTGTGGAAAATGTGATTAAATGGCAGCATTCAACACAGTCTACTGCAGCAGAGTAGCATCATCAGCAAAGAATAAAGCAGGAAAAGTGAGAATAGGATGTGAAAGGGCGATTATTTTATCAGCCCAAGCAGAGTCAGTCAGCAGTGGAGTGATGACACTTGTTGTTATTGACAGTGAGGAACTACAAGTAAAGGAGCTTGTCCCAGATCAACCATCATAATCAGACAGCAGGATAGTGAGAAAGCTCAGACACACTGTACATGAGAGGCAGGGTGCAGACCCCCCAATAAATGATTTCTAAATAAATGATGGAGTTATAAACATATATTAGCTGATATTAGCTTTAGATACACTGCTGAAAACATGTTTCCATGTAAGGAGGACTGTAGATTGTTCCCCTCATCACTTCCATTGAAAGTACTTTAGGAAGAGATCTTTAATGTCCAGTATAACAGGAGGAACCATTACAGCAAGAAAAACCTGTTTCACTGTTCACTGTTGTTTGAAGACTGACTGAAAAACTGAAAACTGTCTTTTTAAATGGAGAAAATGGAGAGAGAGAAGATTATTGACTTACTGATCTTTCTACGATTCTTCGATACAGCAACTGCAACAATGGCAATGACAGCAATGACACCAAGAGCAATGCCAGTTATAGCACCAGTGCTAATACCAGTGCTACGACCTGAAAGAACAGAGGAAAGATGTTGAGATTTGTTCTTCACTGTTCCAAGATAACATCCATCAACAATATTTCCACAGCCACTTCTCCTGTTCATGGTCTCAATGTGTACTTGGAGTCCATCCCACCAAAACTATCTGTTGGTTAGAATCTCTTTCATTGCACAACAGTAAACAAACAGTATTATCAGTGAGAATATTCTCCAGAAATACGAGGATCCAGGGTTATTTAAAGGACCACTGTGGAGGATTCAGTGCCATCTAGTGGTGAAGTTACAGATTGCAAACAAGTGAATAAAACTTCCAAATGTGTTCTGGGCTACTGTAGAAACATGGTGGTGACAATAGATCCTCCTGAATGTTACACACTGGACCTTTCAGTAGTCCTCTATCAGTGTGCTCTGAGATGATGAATGAGTTCATTATTTGTTATAAAATCAAATCAAATCAAATGAAAAAAATCAAATGTGCAAAAAAAAAATATATGTGATAACATTCAGATCAAGAGGAGATGACAGCTGATGGAGATAGAAATAAGATATTTACTTACTGATATCACCAGTCTGACCTCCCATTGGCTCTGTTGGACAATTAATACAAAACTTTTAAGACGTGACAAATAGAACATTTCCTCTTATTTCATTTGATTGTGTAATATGTTAGCTGTACTCACCAACAGTGAGGTTAATGAAGCCTCTCCTGACCTGACTTTGCAGTTTGGGAACATTGCAGGTGTAACTTCCAGCATCCAGTTCAGTTACGTTGGTCAGTTTTAGTGAAATGTTTCCTCTGATCATTTCTTCATAGAAGACAGATGTTCTATTTCTGAAGTTCTCATCCTGATCAGTTAGATAGTCCTTCCCATGTCGACTGACGTGCACATATTCTCCATCATGTGTCCACTCCACCGTTAGAGTCCTCACATTGAATGGAGGCTCCAGGTGACATGGCAGGATGGCGTTATCACCGACTGTTACTGTAACTGGTTTGTCTGAGCCAATCACATCAGACTCTCCTGCAGAGACAAACATCATATTTACACTTCCTGTTACAGAATCACTGAACACTGATCCTAATTGAGAATCTTTACATTACAGTATTAGAGTTCGACTGATAGGGGTTTTTTATTGGTCAGTGTAGATATTTAGAGAGCAGGGAGACTGATGCTAGATATTTAATGTAAGTATAATTCCATTATTCCATGCACATTACAATCTAATATACATGCTTATCTGAGCCAGTAAAATGTTGTTTTAGATGTTATTATTATTAATTAGTCAAACAGAAAAATACATTGGGTTATACTGTAGGTTTTACAATGTGTCTGTTATTTCAGAGAGGGTACAGTCGTTTAACTGCATTGTTCTATACATTATGTTATAATGTATAGAACAATGATGTGTATATGTATGTATGTGTATAATGTATATAACACTGGCCAGTAAAGGTTTTAGGAGAAACACATTAACTTTTATAAAAGATAATGATGATTTATACAAACATTTACATTAGTATCTGCTGATCCTCAGTTTCATTAAATTAATATCATAGTCCTAACTCAATACTTGTGATTGCTTTATAATACAGGTGAATGTCGCTGAATTGCATTAAGAATGTTTTATATGTAAAATTAATGTTTTCTTAGACTATACTAATTATCAAAACTATAAAACAGCCTGACAGACTCTCCTGTAATCTCTTTTTGCTGTCTGGAGGAAGTTTCTCTCTCTCTTTGAAAGTGTGTGCAATGTTTGTTGCTTAGGTGAAGCCTGAGAGACACAGCAGAGAGAGTTAATAACAGCTGCACTGCACACAGAGGTTAAAATTCAGAAATATTCCATTTTGTTTTTATTTACTGTAACATGCCAAGCATGGCCTGTGTTTTTCTTCCTGTTTTTCTCTGTCCCTGCCCTGTGTTCTCTCCAGGTCCTAATGAAGGAAATTGGTTTCTGTGGTAGTCTGGCCTTGCTGCTGATTGGTAAACCAGGAATGAAACTGGTCAATCCTCAAGCGAGACCTCATCAGAAGAAGCCTGCCTCAGAGTTGGTTGGTGCCACCATTGTGTGTTTTGGAGTTGTTTTGTAGTAAAGTTTTTCTTCGTGTTTTGTTTAATGGCAGTAGTTGGATTCAGATTTTTTTTCTACTTTATAAGGGGATGTAACTTTTCTGTCTGTGTGCACCTAAATAGTGAGAAGACCAGCAAATGCCATTGTTGATGTCTCTCTGTGTATGTTAAAGATGGTAACTGTCAAGTCTGTAAACAAGATTGTGCATGTGATAATTAACAGATTAATGGGAAAAACTTCTGTCACACAGTTCTATTTATGTATTCATTTATGTCTCCACACTAATTTTCTTTCTTGTGTTGGGACAGCTGCTGTTTGAAGCCCCGACACATTTTCCAGCATGCAAAAATTCACTAGAAAATGATGGTTGAGCTGTGGATCATGGAGCAGATTATCAGAGGAGCAGGAAATAAAAGGATTTGCATGCAGTCTTGGATACATGCAAATCTCATAGCCTGAGACATGTTGCTACAGAGCCATGTCTTTGAATGTGTGTTTTTAACACAATACATGGTTTGAATTTGTTGAATATGCATAGGATCTGGTTTGGTAATGTGCTGAGTGAAGGCTTTGCACAGCAGGAGTGTCAGCAGTCTTTTAAAGATTAGACATGTTGTTTACGTTAGTACAGCAAAAATACCCCTAAGTGTACACAACAAACAGACTGTAGATCTCCCCGAGATAATGTCTGGTTTGTGGAGTTTTGGATGGAGGGTATAATTTCACTCTTTCTCTGACCTTGCTGATGCACTATGTAGGTGAATAAATAAAATTAATTAATTAAATTAAATTAATTTTCTTGTATCATGTTCATTTTAAAATTAAATGTGTTAAATTCAACCCTGTCTCAGTACAGCTAGGGGGTACAGTTTATAAATTATGATTTATAAATTACCCCAATGTCTGGCCACCCCAGTTCACATCAGATCCTGCAGGGAAACATAGTTTTTAGACTTCCTGTTGCATCATTGGACATTTTGTTTCTCAATTATAATTCAAACTGGCTGGTTTCCATTCAAATGTAGTGCAAAGTTCAACAGAATTTCCAGAAAATGTGGAAAAGGACGTGCAAAATCATGTCTTTCCATCCATTATTGTTGGAGTTGGACGCATTGAGATCTAAGGGGGCACCCATTAACAGGTGCACTGTTAATGCCCCCACTGGTTCCTTTAATTAAAATACTGAGCTCAGTCAATGTTCTGCCTTTATAAAACCCAGTCTGACTTACCAACAATGAGCTGGATGGAAGCTTCCTTCTGTAATGAGGGAAGGGCACATTGGTATCTTCCTGTATCAGAAACTTTCACTTTGAAGATTTTCATGGAGACGTTTCCTGTCATCAGTTCATCCACAAACACTCTTGTCCGGAAATTATAAGATGGATTTTGATTTTCAAACATAAATCTTCCATCCTGGTGAACATGGATGTACTTTGGGTCTAAATCAGGTCTGGTCCACACCACTGTCTCATCAGAAACACTGATGGGAGGTTCAAGGTGACATGGTAGAATGACATCATCACCAGCCAGGGCTGTGATTGGTTGATGTGAACAAATCAACTGTGAGTTTGCTGTGAGGAAAACAAAAGAACAAACAGGAAACAGCAGTTAGGTTAAAATACATATCATCAAAACTGAAGGGAGTCAGGTAAAGCTTTCATAATTTAACAATATTAACATTAACGTTGTAGATTTAATACAAACTATAAACTGTCTCTGCTGCCTGGTAATTAGTTCAGTCCTCACAGTATAATAACATTAGCTTTGTCTATACAGTGTAAACATCAGTCTACAGACTGACTGCAGCTTTAAGTCTCACAATATCTGCATCAGCTCCTTTAAACCGGATCCCCCACATTTCCTTTCACACACTTAAATATCAAATACTATTTATACTACGGCTTAACTGAATACTAATTATTATTTACTGAGAGATCACAGAGCTGCAGCTGAACCTTGGCTGAGAGAGCAGATCTTTATAATCTTGTTTTAAATGATGTGTGTCTGTGAGGAGAGTCAGTACACCCATATATGATCTGGACTGTTGCACAGAGATGTTGCTGCTGTTGCAATACAGGTTTGTGTACGTTGATGTGAACTTCTGCTTTGTCCCAGTACTGGTTCCTCTCATTATTATTATTAGATTTAAGAAGTTCAGATTAGGTTTTAGGACTCACAGTCACACAGTTGCAATTGACTCATTCAGGCAGTCTCAATAAACATAAGCACCAACGCCTTTTTATTTGATTTTAGTTTTATACCATGGGACTTTATCGCGTTAATTACGATTAATTAATTACAGAAAAAACAACACGACAAAAAAAGTAACGCATTTAATCGCAATTTATTTTTGCACACACACACCAAGGTGCGCCCCCCGGCCCCCTCCTCCCTCACCTGTAGTTCTACAGGCTTGAAAAATGGAGCGAGATCGACAGCCCAAGAGGAAAGGTGGAGCAGAGAGAGAGAGAGCCACAGATCAGCTCAGTGCTGTAAAATAACTGACCTGTTTGTCAGTAAGGGAGCAGGTCAGACATTAAACACTAGTGGAGACAACAGACACACAACCAGAGCCTATCCAGCACCACCAGCTTCATGAGGAGGTTGGTTTCACTTTCTGGAAGCTGATGGGGATACAACTGACTTAATACAACAAATGTTGTAAAAAAAAAAAAAAAAAAGAGTAAAATATAAAAGTTTGTGCTTTGTGAACAATGCAATCATAATATTCTTTATTCAGATTGCACTTTATGTTAACACTCACTGATGAAAATAAACACACATTTGTTGTTTAATCTCATTTATGTGTCTATTCATTCATTCAGTCACCAACATCCATTTAAATGAAAAATTGTGCTTCTTGTATCAAATTTTGATATGCGATTAATTGAAATGAATTAATTACAAAGCCTCTAATTAATTAGATTATTTTTTTTATCGAGTCCCACCACTAGTTTATACCAAATGTTTCATCTAGTTTCTTCATCCTTCTGCCGTTCCTATATACATACAGTATATAATGAACATACTGAAGTGTTTACCGTCAGATTGCGCAGTGCAGTTTGTTGGTAAAGTATAAAAAGAAGAGTCAGTGTCTCTTTAACTGATAATGACTGTGATGATGAGAAATGACTGACTGTTGACCAGCGCCCTTCCTCAATGTTTACTGTTTGTTTGTTTGCTGTTTACTGACTGTCACAGCAGCTCGTTAATAAACTAACGGATGTAGTAAAGAATATAAAGAATATATTACTGTAGGTTTATATATAATACAGTTAGTAACAGTCTATAAAGCCTACCTGAGACTGCGTCCGTTAGTAGAGAAAGAATGATCAGCATCGGTCCAGCGCTCCTCTTCATCACTGCATCGATGTGTCAGTGTGTCCTTAATCTTTTATAGAAGATTTATAAAAACTTTACTTTTCATAAAGTTTCATTGTGAGCGTCTGCAGTCACTAGTTTCCAATGAGGAGACATCATGGCAGCGTCTGAACAAAGAGCTGATCCTGGAGCAGATTGTGAGACCTGCCCCACCCATCTCCCGAAAATACTCCGGATACAGAGGGGGGCGTGGAAGAGAGGGTTCATTTCCTAGTTTTACAACATTGCCCCCTCTCCACCTGTCCTGGCCCCTCCCGGAGATCGGCTGTCTTTGCGGCGGTCTCTCAGAGGAAGAGCGAGAGGTTGCGGGTTCGATCCCCGGCTCCTCCCGCTGCATGTCGAAGTGTCCTGGAGCAACATACTATTAGAAGCATAAATGAATGAATTGTTTCAAAGCCACAAACTATAAATAATAAAAAATAAAAAATATACACAGTAGACCGACATCTCAGCATTTCGTCTAATTCTGTGAAGAAAATTCAAAATACACACAGCAGCACAGAGGGATGTAGTCCACAGTGTACAAGTCCAATAAGATATCACACAATAACAATATTACAAAATATAAAACTATAAATGAAACATTTACTGCACTATATGCAATGTGCAACATATTTAAAGCAGCTTTGACTAAAAAACTAAAGAAACTAAGAATATAACTGTACATGTGCAACTTAAAGACAACAGTGTGTGAAAGTAAAATGAAATGAAATTCTTTGCTTAGATAGCATGTGTGATTGTTGAAAACTAAAATAAACAAATAAACAATACAGAATTGTAGGAAAAGTCCCTAAAAGCATCAGAAAACTCTGATGTTCAGTTAATATCCATAAAATATGTTAGTCAGTGACATTAAAGGAAGACTACAGACAGCCAGCTCAGCTCATATATCAGGCTGAGCACAGAGGGGGGCTTTGGCTCTTACAGACCATTACAATATAAACCCACAACCTCCTTCCTTCACCCGGCAAACGGGCTCTTCACCGGAGCATCTATCTGTTTCCTGTTATCAGTGCACAAACTATCATGGAAAGAAAAGTCAAATAATTTTATCTGGTAATATTTAACAGCGGGAACGAATGAAGTAAGCACTGCAGTACAATACAAATAAAAGTACTGGGGAACAGGGTTAGTGAAAGAAAGTGAAAGCAAATGTGCTAAAAAATACATAAAGATATAAAATAAAGGCAAATGTCATTGAGCCACATGTGACAGTTAAAACTGAGTGTGTCCAGTTCTTTTGGCAGCTCTCAGATTGTCTTAATTTGTACTTTTATTTCTCCTGAACTTATTTTCTGTTTCAGTATTCTCTTACAATGCAACCATATGATTTTCTTCTTTCATTTCAGTGTCGTAGAACATTAATTGGTCAGTTTAATAAACTTAAAGATTCTGCACTTCCCCAAAATGTCAGACCAAATGAGAACAAAATGTCAGGTACAAGTTAAACATTTTTATTAACAAACAACAATCATAGTTTCAGCCTCCTAGTGTCCAATGTGTCATTTTAGTTGTGAATATTTGAGCAAATCAAAAGGTTGAATCATAATAATATACTTTATACAAAATGAATTCTAGTAGTAGTACAATGTGATTTAAAACAGATTCTTCAAAGGACAGTAACACAAGATTAAATTAAGCAAGAACACACAAAGCCACACAGTCATAATATATATATATATATATATATATATATATATATATATATATATATATAGTCACCTTAAAATAATAACAGTCATTAAGTGCTTTTTATCCCCCCTCGTCAATTTATTCTATACAGTAACAAGTCACTAGAGGGAGCTGTAAACTGACAATGAGAAGGTTCAATTAGACAGACAAGACTCATTCTAGTTAAAACCAGGTCCTGAGACACCAACTCTGTCCCTGCAGTGGTTTATACAATCAACACATCAGGAAGAACTTCTGAACAATTCCCTGCAGCTGCATTTTAATCAAGAATATTACACAATCAACATTCACATAGAAAGAAGTTCTGCATGAAAGGGTTCTACTTACATATATATAGAATTATGTGAAATAAGAATATGTGGATGGAATAAAAGCTTTTCTTTCATTCAGTATCTGGCTCAAAGCCTCAAGAGTTATCATCAGCTTCTAGCTGACGTTTCTTAAATTGAGCATACCTATATTCTCCTATATTACCCTCTGCATCGTCCTTTTTACTACCATTCCTGTTTGCCCGTTGCATCCTGTCATGTTTGGTCTTGCACAGTCCGTCGCTGTTAGACACAAAACCAGTTATTAGTCAGTGCCTTCCAAAATGTCCCATGAGCATTTTCTGTTCTTTGACCGCTCTGATCAACACATATTTAAGTTTAGACATTAAAACCACTTGGTTAAAGCTCTGTGGAAAATATGATTAAATGGCAGCATTCAACACAGTCTCCTGTAGTAGAGTAACATCATCAGCAAAGAATAAAGCAGGAAAAGTGAGAATAGGATGTGAAAAGGGCGATTATTTTATCAGCCCAAGCAGAGTCAGTCAGCAGTGGAGTGATGACACTTGTTGTTATTGACAGTGAGGAACTACAAGTAAAGGAGCTTGTCCCAGATGAGAGAGAAAAGATTATTGACTTACTGATCTTTCTACGATTCTTCCATACAGCAACTGCAACAACGACAGCAATGACACCAACAGAAATGCCAGTTATAGCACCAGTGCTAAAACCAGTGCTACAACCTGAAAGAACAGAGGAAAGATGTTGAGATTTGTTCTTCACTGTTCCAAGATAACATCCATCAACAATATTTCCACAGCCACTTCTCCTGTTCATGGTCTCAATGTGTACTTGGAGTCCATCCCACCAAAACTGTCTGTTGGTTAGAATCTCTTTCATTGCACAACAGTAAACAAACAGTATTATCAGTGAGAATATTCTCCAGAAATACGAGGATCCAGGGTTATTTAAAGGACCGCTGTGGAGGATTCAGTGCCATCTAGTGGTGAAGTTACAGATTGCAAACAAGTGAATAAAACTTCCAAATGTGTTCTGGACTACTGTAGAAACATGGCGGTGACAATAGATCCTCCTGAATGTTACACACTGGACCTTTCAGTAGTCCTCTATCAGTGTGCTCTGAGATGATGAATGAGTTCATTATTTGTTAGAATGGCATCCTGTCAAATGAAGCATTACATTCAGAATTGCTCTGATTACTTTTGAGGTTAAAGAGGTCATATTATGCTCATTCTCAGGTTCATATTGTAAGGAGGAGAGAAACAGGAGTGATATCTGTGTACATTGTGGACTGCAGTAAAGACAGCACTTACCTGGCTCTGTGTCTGTGGAAACAATGAAATAAAATATTCAAATATGTGATAACATTCAGACCAACAGGAGATGACAGCTGATGAGGAGACAAATAAGATATTTACTTACTGATATCATCAGTCTGATCTCCTTTGTTCCTGTTCTCCACTGGCTCTGTTGGACAATTGTGTTAAATTGTAAATGTGTAAACTGTGTTTAAGAGCTAAAAACATTTCCTCTTATTTCATTTGATTGTGTAATATGTTAGCTGTACTCACCAACAGTGAGGTTAATGAAGCCTCTCCTGACCTTACTTTGCAGTTTGGGAACATTGCAGGTGTAACTTCCAGCATCCAGTTCAGTTACGTTGGTCAGTTTTAGTGAAATGTTTCCTCTGATCATTTCTTCATAGAAGACAGATGTTCTACCTCGGAAGTTCTCATCCTGATCAGTTAGATAGTCCTTCCCATGTCGACTGACGTGCACATATTTTCCATCACGTTTCCACTCCACCGTTTCAGTCCTCATGTCCAATGTCGGCTCCAGGTGACATGGCAGGATGGCGTTATCACCGACTGTTACTGTAACTGGTTTGCCTGAGCCAATCACATCAGACTCTCCTGCAGAGACAAACATCATATTTACACTTCCTGTTACAGAATCACTGAACACTGATCCTAATTGAGAATTCTTACATTACAGTATTAGAGTTCGACTGATAAGGGTTTTTTATTGGTCAATGTAGATATTTAGAGAGCAGGGAGACTGATGCCCGATATTTAATATAAGTATAATTCCATTATTCCATGACTGCGTTGTTCATTACATTATAACATGATTTATATTACACTAACATGTATATGTATGTCTGTGTATAATGTATAGAACACTGGCCAGTAAAGGTTTTATATCAGTTTCTCTGTCATTTAGGAGAAACACATTAACTTTTATAGTAGATAATGATGATTTATACAAACGTTTACATCAGTATCTGCTGATCCTCAGTTTTACTAAATTAATATCATATTCCTAACTCAATACTTGTATTTTGCTTTATAATACAGGTGAATGTCTCTGCATTGTATTAAGAATGTTTTATATGTAAAATTAATGTTTTCTTATACTATACTAATTATCAAAACTATAAAACAGCCTGACAGACTCTCCTGTAATCTCTTTTCTGTCTGGTGGACGTTTCTCTCTCTCTTTTAAAGTATGCGCAGTGTTTGTTGCTTCAGTGCAGCCTTTTAGTTACCTGAATGAACTGTATTTTACTGGATGTTTATTTTCCTCTTCTGTACATTAATAAATTACTCGAACTTGCTTTTTGTTTGCAGGGCTTTGTTGCACTTGTATTAGCAGGCTGAATATTTGGCTCTCCACCGCTCAGCAAAAGTACCCCTAAGTGTACACAACAAACAGACTGTAGATCTCCCCGAGATAATGTCTGGTTTGTGGAGTTTTGGACGGAGGGTATAATGTCACTCTTTCTCTGACCTTGCTGATGCACTATGTAGGTGAATAAATAAAAGCCTGTTTTTCTGCATTGATTTCTTTCATAATTATATTATCTGATGTGATCTTACGAACTGTCGACTCACTCTATTCTACATAAACTGACTCCTTGATCCCTCAGTCTGTACCAGTAAACACATGAATCAGTGTTTGCTTGGAAAAGCCCCCAAATGAAGATATTTAAACTTAAAACACTATTGTATTAAAAAAGCATTAAAGGTGGAATTAGATATCAATATATTTTATTTCCAGACATGTCCTTTCACTTATGTTGCCATAATAGGTCATTAAATTAATTTTCTTGTATCATGTTCATTTTAAAATTAAATGTGTTAAATTCAACCCTGTCTCAGTACAGCTAGGGGGTACAGGATGGAATAGAAGAATTGAATTCCGCCTACAGGTACAGGTTCATCTCTAAAGGCTGAGGAGCTGCACCTCCAGGCCTCCTGTGCTGCTGCAGAGTTTGTGTGTATTGTGAGCTATGTTGACTTACTCCTTATCTCTTTTACTGAGGACAGAAATAGATTTTTCTGTTAGACTTCCAGTTAATCAATTACTTTTGTTTTTTTGGAGGAGGATTCTCAGTGAAGTGTTAAACCTCCAAATCCAGTGAACATATTCCAAAAAACATGGAGCACCTCTCAATTGTCAATTAGGATTATTATTTGGCTCCACTGGAGATTCACAATCCAATTTACAGTTTATAAATTATGATTTATAAATTACCCCAATGCCTGGCCAACCCAGTTCACACATCAGATCGTGCACAGAAGCAAACATTGTTTTTAGACTTCCTGTTG